GGACTTTGGAGACCTGGTGGACTTGTTGAGAAAAAATAAAATTCTCTTTAGGTGGGAATTTCCCCAAGGTCTATCCTTTAGCTTTAAAGGAAGAAAGACCAAGATCAGATCAGTGGAGGAAAAGAACAAGTTTCTGAGTGCATACGAAGAAGACCTACTGAAAGGATTGGGAAAAGACATTGCGATACCGGACAAGAGTCTGCAAAAAAAAGGGAAACCAACGCCACCGACAGACATAGACAACCTTCTTGGGGCTGCTGGAGGAGAAGGAGAGTAGTTACAAAATGACACTACAAATTTTAAGCTGGAATATTAATGGCCTAAATTCGTCGGCTAAAAGGGGAAGAGTATTTCATACATTGAAAAAAGAACATTTGGACTTGATCTGTTTACAAGAGACTCATGTGACAAGGCTACATCGGAAAATTTTGACAAATAAAAGATTGGGAGAGGAATTCATCTCATCGGACAATGTTAAAAAAAGAGGGGTAGTACTTTATGCGAAGGAAAGCCTGTCACCAAAATTTATATTTAAAGATGATCAAGGAAGATATATAGCAATTGAAATTCAATTCCAAGGACAGAAATTTTTGATAATAGGTGTATACGCACCAAATGAGGGAAAATCAGAATTCTTCAAGAAATTGCATGAAACTCTCCTGGACTATCTGGATTACAATATTATTTTGATGGGAGACATGAATGGAGTAGTGTCTACAAATATGGACAAAGCCCAAAGACAAACAGTGACAAAAGATGGAAGATTACCAAAGACATTTTTGAAATGACTGACAATATGGATCTTGTGGATATTTGGCGAACAAAGAACCCCTTGGAAAGAGAAGGAACCTTCTTCTCTGAAGCAAATATGACATGGACAAGAATAGACCAAATCTGGATAACTAGAGGACTGGCTCCTAAAATTAAAAAAGCAGTGATCTGCCCGAAAATCTGCTCTGATCACAATCCAGTAAAGATTGAAATGATATCAACGCCAATTGGGGCCTTTAGATGGAGGATGAATGACTCCTTATTCAGGAATGAGGAAATTATTAAAAAGGCTCAGAAAAATTTGAGAGACTATTTTGAAATAAATTTGAATACTACGACAGAAAAAAGAGTGATTTGGGATGCCAGTAAAGCGGTGATGAGAGGATTCTTGATACAACAAAACGCAATTAGGAAAAGATATCAAAATGAGAAGAGAGAAAAAATTTTGGAGAAAATAAAGGATGGAGAAAAAAGACTGAGAGCGAAACCGAACTCACAGGAGATTTTAAAAGAGATAAAGCTATACCAAGTACAATATATGAAATTGATGAATCAGGAGATAGAATGGAAGATTAAACAGATGAAACAAAAGACTTTCGAATCGGCAAATAAATGTGGGAAGTTACTGGCCTGGCAAATGAAAAAAAGACAAAAGCTGAATACAATCACGAACTTGGTTGTAGAAGGAAAGAATATACAGAATCCTGGAGAGATTCGGAAGTGCTTTCAGAATTATTTCAAACAGTTATATACGCAGGAGACTCAGAAAGATCTAGACATTGACCGATTTTTGGAAAACAATGGATTACAAAAATATCTCAAGACAGTAAATCAACATTAAACTCGACAATATCTGACCAAGAAGTGGAAGGAGCCATTCAGAATATGAAATTGGGCAAATCTCCAGGGCCGGATGGATTAACTGCAAAGTACTACAAAATTTTGAAAGAATGGTTATTGCAACCGTTGAAAGAACTTTGTAATGAAATACTACGGGGAGGAAAAGCACCCGAGTCGTGGAAAGAAGCATACATTACACTTATACCAAAAACCGAAGGGGAGAAGACACAGTTGAAGAACTACCGTCCCATATCCCTATTAAATGTGGATTACAAAATTTTTGCTGAAATTATGGCTAAGAGATTAAAAACGTATTGGTAAAAGAGATTCATAAAGACCAGGCGGGCTTTCTACCTGGGAGACATTTGTCAGACAATACTAGGAACATCATTAACATTTTGGAAAAATTGCAAGTCAATATTAATACTAAAGCTGTTCTAATATTTGTAGATGCAGAGAAAGCGTTTGATAATATTTCTTGGAGCTTTATGAAGAAAAATCTGCAGGGGATGGGGGTAGGCCAAAGTTTCGAAAATGGTATAGGTGCAATTTATTCGGAACAAAAAGCTAAGCTTATTGTGAACAATGTAGTTACAGAAGAATTTAAGATAGAGAAAGGAACAAGACAGGGTTGCCCAATCTCCCCATTGCTTTTTATATCGGTCCTCGAGGTTTTGCTCAATATGATTAGAAAAGACCAATTGGTTAAAGGTATACAACTCGGAGCTAAACAGTACAAATTGAAAGCTTTTGCTGATGATTTAGTCTTGACAGTACAGGAGCCAGAAGCTAGTACAAAAAGAGTGTTACAATTAATACAAGAATTTGGTCAAGTAGCTGGTTTTAAATTAAACAAGATGAAAACCAAGGTATTAGAGAAAAATCTTACAGAGATAGAGAAGGAGAGGTTTCAGAAAGAGACAGGATTAACAATTGTTAACAAAGTGAAATATCTAGGGGTGAATATGACTGCCAAAAATGTGAATCTGTTTAAAGATAATTATGAAAAATGTTGGTCAGAGGTGAAGAAGGATTTAGAAATATGGTCAAAATTGAAGTTATCATTGTTGGGCCGAATTGCTGCGATAAAGATGAATGTATTGCCTAGAATGTTGTTTTTGTTTCAAACACTACAAATTGTGGATAAAATGGACTGTTTCAAGAGGTGGCAAAGAGATATTTCTAAATTTATCTGGCAGGGCAAAAAGCCCAGAATAAAATTTAAGATACTAACAGATGCAAAGGAAAGAGGGGGATTTGCCCTGCCAGATCTTAAACTTTACTATGAATCAGCCGCTTTTTGTTGGCTGAAAGATTGGCTACTTCTTGAAAATGTGGACATTTTAGATTTAGAAGGTTTCGATAATGTGTTTGGGTGGCATGCATATTTATGGTATGACAAAGTCAAAGCGCATAAGGCCTTCAAGAATCATATTGTCAGGAAAGCATTATTCAATGTTTGGGTGAGATATAAGGATTTGTTGGAAAGTAAAACACCAAGGTGGCTGTCACCAATGGAGGCTAAGGCTTTGAAAAAAACAAACATGGAGACAAATTGGCCAAAATATTGCGAAATTTTAGAACAAGTCGGAGATAAATTAAAATTGCAGAGCTTTGACAAATTAAAAACTAAAGTTCGAGATTGGCTGCATTATTATCAAATAAGGGAGGTTTTTAACTTAGATAAAAGATAGGTTTCCAGGAGGAAAAATCTAAACTGGAAACGGAATTGTTAGAACCTAAAACCAAAAATTTGTCAAGAATGTATAATCTGCTGTTGAAATGGAATACACAGGATGAAATGGTTAAATCTGCTATGATTAAATGGGCGCAAGATGTGGGGCATAATATTATGTTTGCTGACTGGGAACGGTTATGGACCACAGGTATGAAATTTACGGCCTGTAACGCCTTAAGAGAAAACATAATGAAAATGATATACAGGTGGTACTTAACCCCAGTCAAGCTAGCAAAAATTTATCATCTGCCTGATAATAAATGTTGGAAATGTAAAGAAAATGAAGGTACTTTTTCCACCTTTGGTGGACGTGCCCAAAGATCAAGGCCTTCTGGGAAATGATATATAATGAACTAAAAATGTATTGAAATATACTTTCTTGAAGAAACCAGAGGCCTTCCTCTTGGGCATGGTCGGCCAATTGGTGCGAAGGGAAGACAGGAATTTCTTTATGTATGCGACAGCAGCGGCAAGAATACTCATTGGGAAATACTGGAAGACACAAGAATTGCCTACCCGAGAAGAATGGCAGAGAAAAGTGATAGACTATATGGAACTGGCTGAGATGACCGGCAGAATACGAGACCAAGAAGAAGGGTCGATGGAAGAAGATTGGAAAAAATTTAAAACATATCTTCAGAAATACTGTAATATAAAAGAATGTTAGAAAAGGTTGGAGAAGAATATTAGACCGTATTGGCAGACAGAGTATAATGGAATAAGTAAATATGTAGTGCAAAATAAAAATAGAGGAGAATTAAATATTTTTGAATGTTAAATTAAGTAAATGAAAAGAAGGTTAGAAGGGTTTGCTGGAGATACGACTTAAATTAGAATACAAAGCAGAGAAGTGAGAGGAAGTCTCGGAAATAAGTAAATGGGAAAATGATCTTAATGGTTTAATTTGATTTTTTGTTATTTTTGTATTGTGATTTTTTGTCTTTTGCATTTTTTTCTGTATTGTGTGTTGTTCTTTTTTTGTAGGATGTATGTGATTTGTTTTTCTTTTTTTGCATTTTTCTCTCTATGTAATCTTAAAATTGGAATAAATATTCTTTAAAAAAAAAAAAGATACAAAAGGCATCGGCTCTGTGGAAACACTTGAAAACATTTTTGTTGTGACAGGCTTTCCCAGCCAGACAAATGCTTCCCCAAAAGTTAAGACGTTTTGCAATAAAGAAAGTGACAAGAAAATGCCCCGGAAAGTGTGGGATAACAATAGCGTTGATGTATCGTCATCTAACCTCCCCACAAACAAATCAGAATAAAAATGTTCATGAAATAAACTTACCGGTACATTGCCTAACATTCCTGCAAGCAATTCAGGTTGAATGCTCAATAACTGTCTCTTCTGGAAATGCTCCCAGTTTTTCCCAACAGTGTTTGAAAGTTCAGAAAATTAGGAATCAATTAAGGTAAAAATGAGGCACCGATCTTTGCCGAAAAGTCAGGAAGGAAAGGTTAATTTCAGAAATAATGTTTGGAAAGCAGCGGGAAGGAAGAAAATCAGAGCATCTATTAATTGGCACAAAATGAAGTCTTTCTTGATAAAATCACCACCTGCACAGAGTGTCTCTTGGTACCATTACATACTACTTGGGTTGTTGCTCAGCTTATAATTGAAGCTACCACCACACAGCCATTGACATATGACCAGTGATAGCTCAGTTGGTAGAGCGTCAAGACTCTTAATCTCAGGTTCGCGGGTTTGAGCCCCATGTTGGGCAAGATTCTTGCAGCAGGGGGTTGGACTAGATGACCCTCAGACCCCCTTCCAACTCTACAATTCTCTGATTCTTTTAAAAGTGTGTGCACAGAGAAGGGTCAAAATAAAACAGCCTTTGCTTATCATCATTCCTCAAGGGGTTGTTGTGAGGCTAAAACAGGAAGAAATATATATGTATCTCCTGGGAGAGAGATATAAATGTAGCAATATAGACATAAACAGTGTTATAACTAAGCAACCATCAAGCAAAGTTCCCAACCTTGCTAGCTATGGTCACATCCCAGCACATTTAGCAGTTTCCCCTAAAGTATCCAGGGAACTGTAGTTTACCCCTCACAGAACCCAGCACACTTAACAAGCAGTAGTCCCCTGGATTCCGTGTGCTTTAACTTTATGGTGTCTCTCTCACACAGAGATCTTTCTTTGCTCAGCGCAGAGACAAATAGCCCAAAATGTACACACAAAGCCAGCCTCTTCCTTACCTGCTCCTTGGTGGAGAAGACCCCGTAAGGCAGGTTCTGAATGGGGAAGTCCGAATCCTCGTCCGCAGGGATAAACGACATTTCACCTCCTTCTTGCAGACACAGAAAGTCAAAAGAGACTTTGCAGCTGTGGCATTCGCCTCTGTACTTCTGACAAGCCCCTCCCCTCCCTGTACGAAAGAGCCAATCAGAGCCCTTCCCTGCAGACCACCCCTTCCGAAGGTTGCTGCCGGCAGCCCAGGAAACTAATGAATCCCAGAGTTTGGCGTGACTCGACAGCAACCTTCACCCCCCTTTGCCCACCCTCCCCACCAGCCCAGCCCTTTCCAAACATTTGCTAACCAGATCCAGGCTGGTTATAACAAAAGCAGTTGAGGGAGGGCAGGCACACTTTCCCCAAACTTCATGAACTTTGGATTGCGCCTCCCTCAACCGGGTGTCTCCCAGATGTTTTGGACTACAACTCCCATCAGCCAGCAGCTTCCAAAACATCTGGAAGACACCAGGTTCAGGGAAGGCTGCTGGCGTGAGATGTGGAATCACAGACAAAAAGAGAGTCTCTTTCCCAATCATCTTTGATGCTGCCTGAATTTCCTTTGCGCCATCCAGGACTGGGGAAGCTGTCAAATCCAAATCCAAACTCTGTAGCCCTTCAGCAGCCCTGAACGTTGCCTATATTGGCTGGGCAAAGCCCAAAGTTCTCAGCATGACTCTCTCTCAATTGCAGCTCAGAAAGAATTCCTTAAACGCACAGGACCTTTGGTAGTCGCGTTTAGGTAAACGCTTTGGGAAGCTGCTTCAAGCAAATTAGTTCTTTGGGCGGAAAGGCACAAAAAACATTAGGTTGCAGTAGGCAAAGCACTCCGGGCATCAGTCTTCCAATCTGCAATATGGGGGCAATACTGCACTGCCCTACAGGCAGGGTTGTAAGGATAACTGATAAACCTATTTGAAACAGCTTGGACACTCTGACGCTACCAAACACACCCTTCCTGGAAGCTCTATTTAGCTCAGCGGGACCGGCTTCTGAGTAAACATGCATAGGCTCACACCACATTTAAATGCTACAGTCTTTTAATACTGAAGAATTAAACTGAATAATGGCAGTGTGGCAATTTCACTAGTGTTTTCCGTGAATGCTGAAGACGCACCTTAGCCTCTAACCTTAGCCTTGAAAATCCGAGATTAGGACCTGCCCTATTCTTGCAAGTTGTTTGTTTTTCATGTTGTGCTTTAAATCGCTGAACCTTCCTTGAGACCATTCAGGGGGCACGCGGAGTAACACACTTATTCCACACCCACTTATTTAAAACCTCCCCCCTCTGCTCCCCAGAGCTTCAGTTCAGCAGGATTGTGGACCTTAAGCTGCTTCGCAGTCTTGAGAACAGTGACATTTTCCGCGTCATCCAAGTGATAGCCGATCAGCTGGACACGGAGGGGAAAGCGTTATAGCAGGGGTCAGCAAACATTTTCAGCAGGGGGCCGGTCCACTGTCCCTCAGACCTTGTGGGGGGGCCGGACTATATTTTGAAAAAAATATATGAACGAATTCCTGTGCCCCACAAATAACCCAGAGATGCATTTTAAATAAAAGCACACATTCTACTCATGTAAAAACACCAGGCAGGCCCCACAAATAACCCAGAGATGCATTTTGAATAAAAGGACACATTCTACTCATGTAAAAACACGCTGATTCCTGGACCATCCGTGGGCCGGATCTAGAAGGCGATTGGGCCGCATCCGGCCCCCAGCCCTTAGCTTGCCTACCAATGTGTTAGGGCTTGGCAGGCCAAAGGGAGAGTGTCTGAGGACCACACACGGTCTGGGTCCATCCACCTCTGCTCTTGGACCAATGCTCCACCCCAGACATTTAAAACACATGGCTTCTCTTGTTGACCCCCTAAACCAGCCTTTCTCAACCTGTGGGTCCCCAGATGTTGTTGGACTACAACTCCCATCACCCCTAGCTAGCAAGGCCGGAGCTCAGGGATGATGGGAGCTCTAGTCCAACAACATCTGGGGACCCACAGGTTGAGAACCGCTGCAACAGAGCTACAATTCCCAGCATCCCTAACAAACTGCTGTTCCCAGAATTCTTGGGGGGGGGGGAGCCACGCACTTTAAGTGAGTTTGGTGTGGTGGTGATGAGGGTAGAGAGATTCTGTATGAGTGACTGAAGCAGGCTAAACCATAGCTCAGTGCAGGGAGACGATGCTCTGTAGGACGATTCCAGACCCCCTGCGTCCTACCTGGAGGTGCTGGGGATTAAACCTGGGACCTCCTGGTGCAAATCCGATACTCTACCACTTGAGCTACAGTCCATCCACAGAGTGGTAGAGTAGGAAGGGGCCCCAAGAGTCATCTAGTCCAGCCCTCTGCAATGCAGGAATCTGATCTGCAGCATTCACGACAGATGGCCATCCAAGCTCTGCATAAAAATCTCCAAGGAAGGAGAGTCCACCCCCTTCCGAGGGAGTCCTTCCGGGTACAAAGCAACGCGTACCATCGCCTCCAAATCCCAATTTTTTAAAATTTTATTTTAATCAAAGTTAAAGACGTGGATGAACATAAATACAATACAGTTAAAACGTCATCATTCTTCATATTGGTGTACATAAAGGACCCAATAACATAAACCCCAAGAAAACCTGCAGTCGGCAAGGAAGTGCAGACAACACCCCCACCCTCCCCCCCGTCCCAGAACACACACACACACACAGGGGAGAAGGGGGTGGGAAGAAATATCCTAGAAGTTATCTTTGAAAAGGAAAAACAAAAATCCCACACGCAAACTTTAGAATCTCAGAATTCTCTGTCTCTCTCTCTCTCTCTCTCACTCACTCACTCAATCACACGCTCAGACTCACGCATTACAAATGATTCATACATAAATAGGTAGTGGGGGGTGCAAACAAGCTATTATGCTAACATATGTATAAACCTTTGTTAATGGGGGAGGAGAACGGAAAACAAAACAAAAACCCAAGCAGCCGCAATGATTAAAATACATTCAGTTACTGATCGCTAGTTGTGCCGTACGAGGCGTTATGGGGGGGGCGGGAGGGAAATCGTGCTGCAGAGAAAAGGAAAGGAAAGCTATATACAAAAAAAGAGAGAGATGGGGAAATCCCCGGAAAACAAAAACGGCCAGGTTAATGCATGCATGTTTGAGTACAACAGAAGAGAGAGAAATACAAACAAAAGCGCTGCTGCCTTCCGATATATCTCTGTGTCGGTATTATAAAAAGCCCTCTGCACTCAACTAAAATTAAAAATTATTTCAAAAGGATAATACTTGAATAGCCATCGTATTTATTCAGGGGCCCCACAGGGACTCCTATAGTGAATCTCACAAGTGTAAAGGTTGCTTAACTCTTCAGCTGTTGTGGTGGTGGTGGGGGCATTGCAATAAAGTTTAGTCATGTTCTAAAAGGGGGAGGGGGGAACCTATGCTTTTGGATGACATGCATGATTCGGCATGACTAAAGCAGGAGGGGAGGAAGAATTGGGAAGGGGGTGGGCGAGGGGAAGAAGCTCAAGTCAATTTCATCTGCAGATGGTCATATATTTTTTGTGGTTTTTTTTCGTTTTTGTTTAATATTCCAGCTAGAGTGTAGCAGTTCAAATCTTCTGGATCTTTTCCCCGACGACTACAGGATTCTCTTTTCTGATCTTCTCGGCTGCATCCGCTTTGTAATTGTAAGAGCAACTGTGGACGTCTGAGTAGCGGTGGACGCCGCAGTAAACGTGGCCGCACCTGCATTCAAATCCTGCGGAGGAGAGAAGACAGGGAGGCTGTAAGAGGCTTGGGGGTCAGGAGAAGAGCGGGGTGCACTTCCTTTGCTCAAAGCGCTTAGCGGGGCAGGAGAGCTGAATTTAATGTCTATGTATTTCACATCTGGCAATGCAGGGATCTCAACTGCAGCATCCAGGGCAGATGGCCAGCCATCCAATTTAAAAATCTCCAAGGAAGGAGAGTCAACCCCCTTCCGAGGGAGTCCTTTCAGCCGCACACCTGGGTACAAAGCAATGTGTGCCCCTTTGGTTTCAGATAGTACATGGGTAAAAGGCAACAGGACCCCTGATTGTTAGGTCCAGTCGCAGATGACTCTGGGGTTGCAGCACTCATCTTGCTTTATTGGCCAAAGGAGCCGGCATACAGCTTCCGGGTCATGTGGCCAGCATGACTAAACCGCTTCTGGCAAACCAGAGCAGCGCACAGAAACGCCGTTTACCTTCCCGCCGGAGTGGTACCTATTTATCTACTTGCACTGCATGCTTTCGACCTGCTAGGTTGGCAGGAGCAGGGACCGAGCAACGGGAGCTCACCCCGTCGCGGGCATTCGAACCGCCGGCCTTCTGATCGGCAAGCCCTAGGCTCTGTGGTTTAACCCACAGCGCCACCCATGTCCCAGTACATGAGTAGACGAGTCTAAAAAGCCCAGGACAAAAATTTTCATGGACCTCTAGTGGCCATGGTGGCTCATTTGCAAGAAGTAATGTATTTAGCATCCATTCTGGAAGTGTAGACTCAATTCTGGCCAAACAAAGCCTTCTGGGTGTATATTGTGCTGCAGGGACCCCCCAAAGTAATTTGCTGCACAACATTTCAGATCAGACCAGATGAAAGGCTGCTTGTCAGCTCATCGCAAGTTGAAGGGCACAGTGACAACGTGACACCAGTAATGTTAATAATAAATACACCATTTCATTATTACTTGCTCAGAACCTTCACAACTTGCCCTTCAGCTGGGTGGATTGCCAAGTTATGTACAACTTACATAAAGAAAACACAAGTCTTATAAAACTTGCATTAAAAAAACACAAGTCTTCTAAAAACCCAATTTAACAATTAAGAGCAGGCTTCCAACTGTAATTAGCAGTAATAATAAGATGCATCAAATAGCAGCTGCTATAAAGATACAGTGGTACCTGGGTTTAAGAACAGCTTAGTTTATGAACAACTTGGATTAAGAACGCTGCAAACCTGGAGGTAGGTGTTTTGGCTTGTGAACTTTGCCTAGGAAGCAGAACATGTTCAGTGTGTTCCATTTGTAAATTGAGTCCCCTGCTGCTAAAGGAAGCACGCTATGGTTTAAGAATGCTTTGCCTTAAGAACGGACTTCTGGAACGGATTAAGTTTGTAAACCAAGGTACCACTGTAGTTGAAAAGACACACACCAAATCACCACGCTTTGCACCACCTCCTCTAAACGGGGGAGTAAAAGGCAGGGGCTGGTTTGAGCTCAATGTTAGAGGATCCAGACGTGTCTACAGTGGTACCTCGGGTTAAGTACTTAATTCGTTCCGGAGGTCCGTTCTTAACCTGAAACTGTTCTTAACCTGAAGCACCACTTTAGCCAATGGGGCCTCCTGCTGCTGCTGCACCGCTGGAGCCCGATTTCTGTTCTCATCCTGAAGCAAAGTTCTTAACCCGAGGTACTATTTCTGGATTAGCAGAGTCTGTAACCTGAAGTGTATGTAACCTGAAGCATATGTAACCCAAGGTACCACTGTATTTCAAAGGCAGAAGTAAGCTCTTACTGTTGATCTACAGCTCGCATTTCAAGTTACTGAAATGAAAAGGAACTTACCGGTAAGCCCAACCTTCTTCCGGCACATGAAGCAGCGAGTTTTTTTCTGTTTTGGTTTGTCAAGTGATTTCTCTTGTTCTTCAGAGGATGGCTCTGCGCTATCTGATGCTGAAGCTGTGGGGAAAGAGAGCAAAAAGATGCGATAGAGATAAAGACAAGGCAAAAATCTGAACTTTGCAGTTTCAGGTCCTGTGCCCTTGGGGTTTAAATTCCTCCCTTGAAGACCCAAATCTGGCCATGTCCAGAACTTTAACCACATTCTTTCAATTGTTCAGATACTCCAGAAGGCTCCATCATACACTCACCACCTTGTTTAATCTCTCTGCCGGTCATGAGAGGTGGAAATCAAGTTGAGGATTGAGATTTAGCTTCGTATTCAGAGGCAGTTGGACATTTATTTGAAAAGGGAAATGATGGCCGTATGCTGCTCACATGAAAATCTCCCACGCCAAAGGGGTTACTCGATAGGAAGCCTGCACCCCGCTTGCTCCCCTGGATGTACACAGAGAATTTCATGCACTGGAAACCCAGCAGAGAGGCTCAATACACAGTCTTGTTTGGGGAGTATAAGGGGATGTGTGCAACACTGCCTTTGCCCAAGCACAACAGACTTCTGCTCACCCAACAAGCCTTCCTCTTCCTCTCCCTCCCCTCTGCAGCCCCCAGAAACTCTGCTCTAGAGGGTTTGGGGCTCCTCTGGAGCAGTGGTGTAGTGGGCAGGGGTCCAAGGGGTGGGCACAACTAGACAACCCACAGCAGGCTCCCTCAGCATGGCTGAGCTCCTGCAACCTTCCGGAGCTGCAGGGAGGCAAGCTGCACCCGGTCCGAGCCTTCAGGGCTAGGACAGCGCCTCCTCCGTGCGGCTGATGCCCCGATGAGGTTGGGCCAGCTCACCCTTTCCTCCCCCCAGCTGCCCAGTCCACCAGAGGGGTGCAACACTTGCGTTGCCCTGGGCACCAGCAACCCATGCTAAGCCACTGCTTCGGAGTAGATCTTTTAACAATTCATATACTGATTAACACCAGGGTGTTTGTATTTGTGTTGTGTGTTTAATTACATAAGTTTTATCTGGATCAGGCCAATGGCTCATCTAGACCAGCATCCTGTTCTCACATGTAATTTATGTAATTAAACCAGATGCCCATAGAAATCCTCAAAGCAGGACCCGAGAGCACAACAGCGCTCTCTCCCTCCTACAGTTTCCAGTAACTGGTATTCCGAAGCATGACTGCCTCTGACCATGGAAGTAGAACAAAGACTCTCCCTCCTCTGCCATGAATTTGTCCCAGCCTCTTTTAAAGCCATCTAGATTGGTGGCCATTGCTGAATTCTGTAGGAGGGAGTTCCATCGTTTAACTCCTCGCTCACCCTCAGTCCAATGCACATTAACATCATGTTTTTCATTTATTTCTCATACAGAAGATGAAACAATACAGGTATTGTTTTCCATAGCGAAGAAGCTGGACATTCTAAGGGCAAACAACCTATGTTGTTTTTTTAAAAGAAAAAGGGAAATGAAAAGAGGAGCGCCAATTGTTGAATGGATTGTGCAAAGATAGGGAATTGTAATATGGTTAAATAAATGAATATAGCAAGGGTTAGGGGAGGGAAGGCAACAGAACAATATTTTTTACGGCGAAATGGGGTATGGTATGTTTCTTATGCAGTGGAGCGACAGAGCTCCAGAAAATTGTGCAACCTTATGTATGGTTGTGGGTTTCTTGCAACACAATTCATTTTACGTTGAAATCTTTGATATACAGGATATTTATCGATAATAACAAATTTTAAAAGCACTGTAGTTTCTAAGCAGTGCACAATGAGGTACAAAACAGATACAAAAGATAAAGTTAAATTATCCATAAAATGGGGTGGGGGCTTACTTTAAAAAGCCTGCTGAACTAAAAAGGTCTTCACAAAGCACCCAAAGTTCAACAGGGAGGGGATCTATCTGACCTCAGCCAGGAGAGATGTCCACAGAGTCAGCCCCACATTACTGACTGCATGGCTCCTGGTGGACGCAAGCTGTGCATCTAAGCCACAAGGGACCAATAGCAGTGACACTCCCCTAAACACCTGTGATCACGTAGGGATCTGAGGAATAAGGTATCCTGGGCCCAAGCTGTTAAGGGTCTTGTTTTGGGAGCACACTGCAGAGAAGAAGGAGGGAAGTTGGAAGCCCCCTGGAACAGAATTTGGGGGTGTGCAGGGGACTGCAAATGGGAGGGTGAGGAAGGGGAGCATCCCAACAGGAATCACAACGAAAGATTCCCCACTGAGCCCCAGCTAACCCACAATATATGAAACATTTTCATTTTTCGGGCAAGCCTTACAAAGTAGCTGACAATTACCATGCCAGTAATTTATGTCTATGCCCCAACTGATCACTGTGCTCCGCAAGAGAGGGACTCCTGCGGATGCGACCTCATTGGGAGATCTGATCCATGCCATAAAAGTATAATAATAATCCTGAAATCATCACACACCTTTAAAACAGGGAGAGAGAAGTGTGAACTTCAGTTCAATAAGGCTGGAAGTGTGCGCCTTTAGTTTTAGCTGTCTTCATGAATTGGCTTAAATACCGCTCTTAGTCTGAAATAAGACTGAAATAATGACATCTGAAGTGGGCCACTGACGGCTGAAATAGGGGGTTATGTAAGACCGAAAACATGTCTTTGCAGACAGCCTTAAGTGTCGCTTGAGACACAGAACCCTAACACAACTCCTCAATATAATCTTTGAAGATTGCCTAGGTAGGTCTTCCAATTGCTGGGCGCGGACTCACTAGTGTGCTGTGGTCTGATCCAAGGCGGGTTGCAACAGGCATACTACCACCATGCAAATGTATGGTGAAAGATTGAGAAATGGGTCCCCAAATGCATGTTTGGGTCTTGGGTCTCTGACAAGGCCTAAGTTGCCTGGTCTAGAACAAGTTAAGCAGTTGCAGCTCCCAGAGCCAGCAAAGAAGGCAATACATTTTACTTACAGCCAGTGCTTTCCCCCCCCAAGAAAAAATAGGTGCCAGAACTCACCATGAAGTTGTTACAGCAAGTCACCAGGTGACTTGGGGCAGCCCTGAACGGGTGCCGGTTTGACAACAGCTGCATTCAGTGCCCAAGGAGGTGCTAAAAACTATGGCAAGCTGTCTCCCTAGCTGGTTTGGGGGTTGCCCCTGGTTCTGGTGCAAGTCAAATAAATGTGCCCCTGCCTCCCCTGTTCTCATAGATTCAGGTGGGTGGCTAGGGCAGCTCAGAAGGGCCCTTGAGAAAATGCTTGTGTGCAATGGTAGAGGCCTGGCTTAAAAACTTAAGGCCCACTACCACTACATGGGAGATGGATTGAAGAAAAGGAAATCCGAATTGGCTCTGTCCCATAGCTTGAGCAATTGCACCCAGGAGCGGCTAGGAGCTAGGTGGAGTCATAGATCTAAAAAAAAGTGTAGACTCGCACACACTGGCTACCATCCATTTTGACTTGAAATGTTCATTTTCATACTTTCTCAGAAGTATGTAAAGGCAAGAAGCGGGCAGGGAGATTGCCGGCCCGCAATGGCACCCGCCCAAGAGGTGCCAGAAACCAGAGTCTAAAATTACCTAAGCACATCACTATTCAAGCGAGATAAATTCATGTTGCAAACCATTGATTGAAACAAGGCAGAGATTAGGTAAAAGGTTTTACAATAATAACCCTGCCCTCCCAACATTTGATGCCTAACAGCAGTTCATGCATTGGTTACTTTGAGATTAGACTACTGGAATGTGCTCTTCGTGGGGCTTTCCTTGAGCTTGATCTGGAAGCTGCAGGGAGTGCAGAATGCTGCAGCATAACTGCTGCCAGGAACGAGACTTTGTCAGCATATAACACTTTTGCTCAGAGGCCTGTGCTGGTTGCCAGTTTGCTACTGGGACAAGTTCAAGGTAACAACCCTTCACAGTTTGGGAGAAATTGACTCGCATACTCCATATATACCCACTTGACCACTTGCATAAAATGTTTTTATCCAGTGCTGAAAAGTACAGTGAAGCCTCCTGCCTGATATCAAGAGGCAGAAAGTTCCGCAGTATAGGTGCGGCAATGCTAAAAAATTGATTCCTTACAAATGCGGAGCGAGTTATTATGTGGTCCCTGCAACAAAGCAGTCGAGGGGGAATAAATGGGGTAAACTTAAGAGTAAATAAAGGAGAAAAATCAAACAGAACTCTCAGCCTCTTGCATTTAGGAGCTTACAGCCTTAAATACATTTACAGTGGTACCTCAGGTGACATATGCTTCAGGTTACAGACTCCACTAACCCAGAAATAGTACCTCAGGTTAAGAACTTTGCTTCAGGTTGAGAACAGAAATCGTGCTCCGGTGGCGCGGCGGCAGCAGGAAGCCCCATTAGCTAAAGTGGTCTTCAGGTTAAGAAGTGTTTCAGGTTAAGTACAGACCTCTGGAACGAATTAAGTACTTAACCCGAGGTACCACTGTAATTGCATTGCTATATCCTGCAAGGATCCCCAAGAGCCGGACCCTGGTTTGCTTGGCTTCAGAAAGCTGGCTACATCATGTGCCTTTGGACCAAAGCTCCAGGAACATACCATCAATTGTGGGGCGAGACAACAAATGGAGACGTAATGGAAATGTGTTGTGTGTATATCAGCAACAATTAAAATGTCTGCATAGTTTTGGACCAGGGTGAGGGACCAAGGGATAAAGTCAACACCTTTATGGAAGAGGTGGGTTTTGAGGAGAGATCCTCAGGCGGGGACTGACCCAGCTCCAAGCAGTACTATGACTTTTTATGCCCCATTACTCCACACTCCCCAAAAGATTGGCTTGTCCCTGAACTTAAACGATGCTGACATATCCAGCAACAGCCAGAGGGGGCACTTGTGCAATACCCCCAAAATAAGAGAAAGTTAACTGTCAAAACAACAACAAAAAGGCACATATTTGCATGTGCTAATTTAGATGCAAATTTAAAATGAATTAGCTTGTTTTTTAAAGGAGATAAGAAACACCTCACCCTAGTGGGGGAAGAGTGTGGCCATGTGACCTGCATGCTTGCAGGTGATCATTGTGGATGGGCAACCAACCCTGAGAAGCAGTTTCATTTGTGCAGCACCAGCGGCTGGGTGTTTTGACCCTTACGTTTTTAATACATTTTATTTGATTACTGTATTTTATTCTTGTTGTAGACCACTTTGAGTTTTTGTTGTTATGGGAAGCCATTCAAAATTCAACACACCTCTCCTAAGAGACAAGAAACTGCTAGGCAGCCGAGTTAATAAAGAACTTTTTTAGAATTCCCTTCCCTGACCTTTGGACGTCACGAAACAAACTGATTGTCCCCGGCAGAATACTGCTGGAGGATGAATGTACATAAAAGTCAGCTCCAGGACAGACAGACAAATACAGAAAGGGGAGGGGGAAGTGCTGTAAACCTAACTCCAAAGTTAGATGAAATATGGCAACTGGTTGGAGATACAAGGCTTTGATCGAGGAGTTTTATTATACCAGAGCCCACTAGGAGGAACAGGGAATAGAGTAGCAATTTGGGCAGTTTCCAGAACAGCCAAAAAATTCAAAGACCAAACTCTGTGCCAGGACACAACAGTGGAGCGAAAGCATCGAACATTAAGGTAACCTGTTGAATGAGCAAGGAGCAATATCATATTGGCAGAGGCGAAGACCATGCCTAGCACTTATCTTCCCTCTCTCTGCCAGTAATATGGACCAGACTGAGATGCAATCTGGCAGGAGGGAGTAAGGATGTGTCTGTTCCCTGATGCAGCCTTTTGCTAATAGAGGAGGGGAATCCCATGGCTAGACAGTGCCAACCTGTACCTGAGTTACAGACAACTGCACAATGCACAGGGCGAAGGACAGCAGACAATATCAATGGAGATACCAAACCTGCTCAAGGTATCTGGCAAACAATGTGCATCCAGTTTCAACTCAGTGAGGAAATAATAATTTAAACGTGCTCCAAGTACTAGAAGTTTGGGGCACATTGCTCAAAAATTTATAGCAGCCATTGCCAAACAGGTGCCCTCTGGTGATGTTTTTGTCTTACAATTCCCACCACTGTGGTTTCCTCCTGATGGTCTTAGCTACTAAAACTGCACCAGCTCCCCAGTTCCAAAGAAAGCACAGAGGTTCTCTCTGGGTGATGCTGGACCACAATTCCTCTCACTCCTGGCTACTGACCATACTGGCAGAGGCTGATGGGAGCTGGAGTCCTTCAACATCTAGAGGACCACAAGCTACCCATCCCTGCCTTATGCCAGACTTTCACTGTTTACAGACAATATACTTGAATCAAGCTGATATTGGAGGGGGTGACAGATGAACTCAGGACTATCCTGGACAACTGTAGGTTAACACACAATAACATTTTGCGCACTGGCCAGGATCCAAGGAACCGTGAAATGAGTTCTGCACAGCTGAAAAGAGAATTTAGATGTTCTTTCTTCCCAAATGAGGAGGAAGCAGTGCTCAGTGGAAGAGCATATGTTCTGCATGCAGAAGAATCCCAAAGCTTTGAACAGTGGATCCCCGGTTGTCGAACAATTCGGAAGCCGAACAATTCGGAACCCGAACGCCGACAACTTGGAAGTGAATGCTTCCATTTTTGATCATGCCTTGGAAGTCAAATGGCTTCTGTGGCGCATTTCTTCATTTCCCCCCTCCATTTTTTCAGTGGATTTTGCCAACCGGCAATTGCGCTTGGGTTGTCGAACGTTTTCAAAGTTGAATGGTCTTCCAGAATGGATTACATTCGACAACCGAGGTGCCACTGTACCTTCAGTTAAATCTTCAGTTTAAAGGGAGGAGGTAATATGCTGGGAGCAGTAAAACTTAGGTTAGATGGAGAAGATGCCTGACCTGCCGTACAGCAGCAGCTTACACTCCTCTGCTGCACTGCAGACTACATCTCGAACGGGGAGAGTTAGAAGCATTCTGAGATATGGCAATGGGTGTGTGCGGTTGCCCTTAGCCACAGAAGAAGTCAAAAAGAACTAATACAAGCCACAGAAGAAGTGAAAAAGAACTAATACAAGCCACTGGGTGCACATTTCTTTTGGAGCTGGCCACTGATCTCTTTGTACCTTATATGAACAGAAAATTATCTTTTACAAGGAAAGTGGAGGCTGGTGCTTGAAGGGGAGGGAGGAATCATACACATACACACAGCCACCAGCAAGCACATCAGAGGCAAATGAAAAGCCTGGACATCAGGAAGGGTGCACTTAATGGTTAAAGCTTTTGTTTTTCCTGCTACACCCTTGTTCTTTACAGAACAGCATGAAGTTGAAAGATCTGGAGCTGCAAATGGAAGTATGAATTTAAAAGAGAAAGAGAAAGAAAGAGAGGTTATTAGAGCAGAATTAGGACACAGAATAAAGATATACAGACATTTGAATGCAGAAACATGCAGAAAAGGTGGGAAACGTCTATGGCAAGCTTACTCTTTCTCAAAGGTAGCTTAAAAAGAACAGCTTTTTAAATCAGCAGCTATGCCATGCATATAACAAAGTTAGTAGCAGAATCATGTTAAAAGACATTAGCTAATAGAGGACAATGTCTAGACCAAGACTGGGGGAAAGGATGGGATAAAAAGTGTTTGAGGTCTGACTTACTGCCAGGTGCTAAGACTGGGCACAATCTAGACAGCTTAGCACTTTTGAATTCCCATGCATTCCAACAGGAGAATTACACACAAGGTCAGATCTCCGCCTTTGAAATGAACAGGTTTAAAAAGAGTACTAGATCGGGTCCATCTACATACTATCAGAACTAGATGCTTCCTTTTCTCATGCAGCTTTTAGACCAGGTGTGGTTTAAGATGCTACTGAACTACACCTCCCATCATCCCTGGCTGAGGCTGATGGAAGTTGTAGTTCAGTAACATCTGGAGGGCCAGGGGTTCATCCCACACCTGTTTTAGACAAACAGTGTGGGCCTCTTTTTCGTGACTGCCAGAGAGCACAGCTAAAATTGCATCCAGTGCCCCCTTTCACCCTGGATGCAGGGTAGGGACCCAGGATGCTGTCTTGGCAGCTGCGACATTTCTATGATTCACCTGTTGCCTTCTCTGCTGCATTGCAAGGTGCTGTCAGAGAATTTTGGCGTTTCCTTATACCCTTTCTTTCAGATGATATCTCTGCCAATAAGAGTGGCAGAAACAGTGTGTGGGTATAGATCAGGGGTGAGGAACTTTCTGGGAGTTGCACGCTGACAGTGGGTGAGGCCAGAGGCAAAAGTGGACAGAGCAATGGATGTGATCTTAGTGCGGCAGTGCGAATCCCAGCCATGCAAAAGCCAGGGGTTCCCTTGACACCACCTCTTCTCCATCTGGACAAGCAGAGACACCATCACAGTTCTGGGACATGTATCAGCCGGGCAAAAGAACTCAAGGAGGGCAAGGGGTGCAACCTGGGGAAAGGGCAAAGGTGAGGTTCCCCACCCCTGGTAGAGGGCATCCCTACAGAGCGAATGCACCTGGTTTGGGCACTCGTTTTAACCAAGGTTCATTTTCCAGCCCCTCTCGTGGCACACGCTTGCTTCCTGCCCCAGCCCAGTTTGGGAATCACTGCTATAACCTACGTTAACAAGGAAACTCACTTACCTACTGTGTTTAGTGTTAAATCTGTATCGCGCCTCTTCGTTTTCACTCTCGAGTTCTCATCCGGGAAATCGGGATCATCTATATTAGTTTCTATGCTTGCATCATAATCACACTCTGTTTCTGAGCCCCTGGTAGTGTCAGGTAAATCTGAGTTATCCATCGACAATTCCTCTCCGGTACTGTCTATTGAAATTGTTTCGGCAAGGTCCACTGATGTTGGTTCTATTTATTCAACGGGACATGTATTTTAGGTATGTATTTTTATTCTTTAGAAAACACACACACGCACACAAACATGCTGCGTAGTCAGTTGGAAAGTGGTTTTCATTCGTTTATTGTTCAAAACGGACCCACCCACTCCTACAGTTCCTTGCACCCGAGGGCTACCGCAGCGCAGGGCTGATCGGCTCTGCGTGCAAAGCCATCAAGGGTGATGGTGGCGAGCGAGGACTGCTTAGCAAGGGATGCGATTTTGATCTGCTTGGTTACCACTGGGAACAGAGGACACGAAAAGATATGAATGAAGTTTTCCCACCCTGTAGTTTAATCAAGTGGTCCCCCCTACCTCCTTTCTTAGCTACAATAGGATCAATTCCTTTGTGCAGGGATTCAGAAGGACAATTCTTCTAGCAAAGAGGTAAGTGCAACTGAATGAGCACTGGAAAGTGGGGAGGATATCAGAAATGCAATATGCATGAATGTCATGAAGCAACATGGGTGCCCTCAGGCAGACAGCTCTTGTGGTCTGGAGGTATGCAAAAAGTCCTTCCTACTCTGCTTTGTGCATTAAACCCCCTTGATAAATTGCAGCATACAAATATTTTAAATGACACAAAAATTATTTCTCTTTGTCCCCACTACACAGAAAGCTATTCTACATGGCTAAATCTACACATGGGTTTCAGATTTTTCCTATTTTACCTGTCCCTATAAGTGCTGAATAAATGCATGGACACACACTGGAAAGTTAGTACAGTGGTACCTCTGAAGTCAAACGTAATCTGTTCTGGAAGTCTGTTCAACTTCCAAAATGTTCAGAAACCAAGGCGCAGCTTCTGATTGGCTGCAGGAAGCTCCTGCTGCCAATCGGAAGCTGCGGAAGCCCCGTCAGACATTTGGGTTCCAAAGAACGTTCGCAAACCGGAACACTCATTTCCGGGTTCACAGCGTTTGGGAGCCAAAACGTTCCGAGTTGCAAGGCGTTAGCCAACCAAGGTACGACTAATGGCTTCCCAGTGTACTTATCCAAAGAAAAATCTCCAATATGTGCAGTTTGAAGGGCAGCTGCATGTGAGAAATTGCTTTGTGCCAAGTGGGGTGGGGGGGAAAGACAATAAATTTCCCTTTCAGAAAATCCACACTGGGGCCTTAGCCAAGGATATCTATCAATTCATGCATATTAAGGATGAGGATTCCTAAGTGCCCACCTTCAGGGATTTTGGGTGAGGGTGGGGGCAGTTGATAAGAGGATGCATAAGCCCAAGCTCAGATCCTTGCCAACTCCAGCTAAAGAAATTACAGGTAGGAAGGCGGGCAAATATCTCTGAGACCTTGGAGAGTGATTACTCACCAGTTAGTCAGCACTGGGCTAGAGGGTCCAACTGTGTGAAGGAAGCTGCCTTTTACCAGGTCCAACCATTGGTCAATCTAGGCTAGTATTATCTACTTCAATTGCCAGTGGCATGTGGCTAACCATGGTTTATCAGAAATGTGCAGGTTCTCGGAGGGGAGACTGAGGCTGCTTTGCTCCTCCCCCTGGTGGTCCTGCTGCTGCACTAAGTCATGATTTGGCTTAGCATTCTGTCCCCACCATGTTCATGGTTTAATTCTCCTGGAATTCTCCATGAGCCGTAAGCCACAGGACAAACCCTGGTGACGGCTTGTTAGTCTGGAGAGAACTGAACCATGAGCAAAGGCTCAGCTGGGCCACCAAGCCACAGTTTAGCAAGGCACATCAGAACAGAACAACTTGGAAAGAGCAAAGCAGTCACAACCTCCAGGAGTCCACACATTCATGCTAAACTGTGGTTTGGCTTAGTAAAACATTTTAGCCAGGCCAAGGGTTATTCAGGGTCTCAGGCAGATAAAGAGATCTTTCTTCCTTGATCCCCTGTTTTTACTGGAGATGCCAGGGATTGAAATTAGGACCTTCTGCACGCAAAACATGTGCTCTTCCATTGAGCTATGGTTAGGAGAAGGAGCCTTGTGCTATCCCAAACTGCAACCGCAGAAAGCTCATAGCAGTAAATATGAATGGAACTGCAGTCCAAGGTATTTCCCACATATTGAATTTTACACAGACTCACACAATCCACATTTCCCCACACCAAACTATGTAGCTTTAGATCCACAGATATATCCAAGCATTACAGGCAAAAAAATTCGAATATATATTTATATTTTTAAAACTTATACCTCTCTTTTCTACTTCGTAAAAGAGTTGCTCAAATATACGACTCCAACTCATGTGAGCATTTGTTCCCCAAGTAGAACGCGTTATCAATACTTTCACTTCTTGATGCTACGCATGAGTTGTATCTTTAAAATATAATAAGAGAAACCAGCCACTGGGGGAATATATTCTAATGGGAAAGCATAGATTCATACTCTGTAGTGTCCTTTCATGGATTGTGGAGAGAACTCCTGGCATACCAAACTTTCATACATGCGAGCTTTCCACCAACTAAAGGGTTCAGCAGATGTCTTGGAATCGCATTACATCTTCAAATCATCTATTTATCTTGAGATACAGTCCATTTTATGGTTTCTCTGTTCACCAACAGAGACTTGACTAGTCATGACTTGGATTAACATATAACCAGGGGTCAGCAACCTAAGGCCAATGGACCGGAAGTGGCCCGCGGAGGTTGTTTGACCGGCCCACGAGCCACCCCCGAACCGAGGAGCCTGCTCTCACGCTGCGCTATACCGGCACAGCGCAGTGCAGGGACTTGCTTCTGTGGCGCTGGAAATCACGTCTGTGCACACACAGATGCTGAAAACCGCAGGCACGCACATAATCCAGCCCACGGAGGAATCTCCGCGGGACCAATCTGGCCCAGGCAAGATAGACCTTGCCGATCCCTGATATAAACAAAGAATATATATATATACGGCACTGCATTTTAGCAACTTTGTTCCATTCTGTTTAGGCTTTGTGCCCCCTTCATTTATATTTCACATCAGGGTTTATATCCCACCTTCACTCCGCGAGAAACTGGGAAGCACACATTAGAGGGTCTGGAGCAGCATCACTCAATGTGGTGCTTTCCAGATGTAGTCATAAACTACAACTTCCATCACCCTTGGCCAGTGGCCATGCTCACAGTGCACCGTCCATTCTATGGCTAGGAGACCCGGTTCACATCTCTTTTACAGATGTGGTATCACACAATACAACACCCTAAGGATTAGATGGCTCCAAACAGAAAAGGGGGTTATGCCATGTTCACAGAGACAAACACAGCTGGTTTTAGCAAGGAAGAAAGCTCAGCTGCAGCTAAGGCTCTTTCCCCTCCCCACCCAGAAGTGGCTCAAGCCAGTGAGTGGCCACATTTCCATACAGGCAAGAGACCACTGCTCAGTAGTGGAGTACATGCTTTGCATCAAGAAGTTCCCAAGTTCAATCCATGGACTCTTCAGTCAAAAATGAGCAGGTGATGAGAAAATCCCTGCCTGGGATCCTGGAGTCAATGCCAGTCAGAACAGACAATGGCAGGCTCTTGGGGACAAATTATTAGACCTGGTAGAAGGCCCCTTCCTCTGACCTCAGTGTAGTGTTTTCTTTTAAAACCCCACACCAGTGCTCTGTTTTGAATATGCAGCAAATCAGAGCCCAGACCACAGAACTAAAAGGCAGGTATTGCTTAGCTAAAAGAAGGACAACGAAACAAATAAAAAAACCCCCACCAAAGGCAGAAGATGTGATCAGTAGCCCAATGAGCATAAGGGGGAGCCCACAAGGGCTTCTCTTAAGAAAGGAAGAAACCCTGCTATGTTATACTGGGAGTGGACCAAAGGAAAATACAGATAAAGCTTTCGCTTACTCTAGTACACACGGCACTCGTCTAATACCCCTTTTCTTATCTCAAGGCCCTAGCTGTCAAGTGTGTGACCGAGATCCAGCTTAACTTGCAAGCCATCTGCAACAGCTCCCCCATGGCAGAAATGAGTACACAGAGATGGGTGTATGAGCTGAGTAATGCTGTGCTTATGTCATTTCACTGCGTCTTTCCAGAATGTGTATGAGAAAGAGCACTGCTGCTTGTGTTTCTGAATTTCAGGAATACTCAAATAATCTTAGGCATGCTTCACGTGGGGGCAAGTCTCCCTGAACACAGTGAGACTCACTTCTGAGTAGGAAGGATCACATTGTTAACTGTATTAATGACATGGTTTAGAGTCACTGCAAAAAAACCAAACCCTAAAAGATGAAATTGAGCACAATCTGTTTTTAGAAGCACATCTGGAATGCTCAAAGGCAGGTTTTGGGGGCCCAGACTCTCCACTGTTATCTGTGCCCAAAGGGCACAAGGATGCCCCAACATCTGTCAACATTGTCCCACGAACAATACATATAGCAATTTTAAAGGGGAATCTCCCTGAATGTCAATTAAAAAAACCCACACACATGCAAAGGAGTTCTGTGTTACCATGCTGATTTTAAAAAATCTATCGTGGCAAGATTTATTTTGTTTTTTTCTGCATAAGCTCATGTCATAATAAGTCCCAGGACTCTCTTTCAGCAAAAGACTAACACAGGTACTTTTGCATAATTGCATTACTTGCCACACAACTGACAAGAAACTTTAAAGTCTGTTAGGGTTGTTGCAGTGAAATTCAGCTTTACATGTATAGGTGATTTCTTTGCAAAGCCACAGGGTGGATTCAAATTAAGCGAGGTAAGCAAACTTTGGATTCTCTTGAAATAAACTGGATGGCTGAAACATTCATGTCCATGGCATTAATCTGGATATTCAATATAGGACTGAATATAGCTAGATAAACAAACACACTCAAGCTTTGGAATCAAAAGGGGCTGGTAGATAAAAGATGGGATTTACTGGAGTCCAAAACCAGTAAGATTAAATTTCTGGTCTTGCAGAGCTGCTCACCCAACTGTTTTATTTACCTCTTTCCAAATGCTTAAACAGTAGTAATTTTTTTGGAGGGGTGGGGAAGGTGAGAAATCCTGGCACATTCATGTTGCCTTATACCTTCTGTGACAAATTATTAAGTGCTTAAAGATTCTCTCCACTCTTAAGGAGATGCAATTGTCAGCAAGCTCACTGGGAAATGCCACAAAACAAATCTGTGCATGCCTGCAATCAAGGTGTACAATTCAAGTCTCTTCTTTTCAGTTCTGGCCTCTGCAGTTTTTGACAACTGGCATTGCAGAGTTATTGATAACCAGCAGTAGATCAAGTAGGACAACAATGTATATTTTCTCTTTGTGTTCCAAAAAACATAAACAAAGACAGTGAAGGCACCCAACTAGTTCATATACTAACCTTGGACATCTTCTCTTTCAGGTCCTGCCTTGTCCACTATGTCTGTACTTTCCACTTCACATGTTGCTACAGATTCTGCTAAGAGTGATGATGGGCTTGACACAGGGCTAGAAGCGGGGTGGCAGGGAGAGAATTTCTTTAGAAAGTGGTACAGTCTTTGCCATAACTAGCACATGAAATATTCGCTTTTAGAAGGCAACTGTTTCAACTGCTTATAAAGGCAACTTGATATTATAGACACCAGGGTTCGAGATGCTACCAGGCCATGATGCTTGCTAAGTGACCTGGAGTCAGTTCGTCTCTCCCTCTCTCTCTCTCTGCTGAGCCTACCTCACAAGATTGGCGTGAGGATAAACAGGGAAAGGGAGCCACGGTCGTCGCCTTAAGCTCCTCGAAGGAAAGGCAGGGCAGAAACAAAATTACAAAATGAATAAAATCATCAGAAGCAAAGTATTTGTCCAGTGCTGCCACCCATTGGACTGGTTGTAATTTAAGAAGATGGTCAGCTGATGGATGGATGAGGGCAGTGTCACATTTACCCCCACGGACTAGTCTACACTGTGTTTATCTTGTATATTTAGCAAAGAGCTCTGAAAATAATATAACTGTCTTTGAAAGACTGTTCAGAAACTGGGGCCAGGCACTGGGACCAGAGCTGCCAGCACCAAAGCAGATTCACTGGCGTGCTTCCAATTCAAAGTGCAAATGCTTACCTTACAAGTGTTTAGGTCATACTTTGAGGTGCAGATTTTGCTGTGCATTTTCCCATACCAACAAGTTTTAAGTTGAGATCTTCCCCAGTCAACATCTGTATGGGGCCATCTTTGGGGAGTACTCCAGCAAATCTGGGTACTTTTACAAACCTGTCTAGGTAACCATCAGCACTCAGCACCTGAGTTTTGCTATTATAGGGAACAGTGTAGAAAGACGGGCTCCTGCTCTGTCCCCAGATACATTAACAAAACTCACAGACAGCTATAGTGCAGCACTCCCAATCTATAAAAAGGGAGAATGCTCTCATCCATGCAGTTACCATTCTGTCCCCAAAATAGAAAATGCTGCAATTAACATTATGGTAACAATTCCACATAGACCTTTGATACACACAAACACAGGATGGCAACGTTTACCTTGGCTGCATAGGTGGTACAGGTGTAGAATCTAGTGTTGATGAAGTTTCCTGGATGCTGCCTTCAGTGCATTGAACTGGTAAAGACTCAGTTAGGCTACTAACAGAAGTTGCTGAAAGAAGAGGCACTCGTGTTAAGACAGCAATTGGCTATGCTAGAAGACAACTGGTCACCATAGGCTAGATGTTGCAATCTTAGGGCTGGGGGAGACTTTGGGCTGTGATTATTTCAGGACAGAATGATATCTACACCTAAGTTATTAACCACACCTCAGTTGCTTAGAGCATGGTGCCGATAATGCCAATGTTGCAGGTTCGATCCCCCTATGGGACAGCTGCATATTCCTGCATTACAGGGGTTGGACTACAATTCAATTATATATGCCCAAATACAAGAGATGGCAATTGTGCCTTTGAATTTAATGTGCAGGTTGGTTTGTTTTTAAAATTCAAATAAGATAAAATTTGATATTTTAAAAACACAAAGAATACCTCTTCGGGGGACGATAATCAATCCACACTACACATAGCTAAACAACGGAATTTACTGCAGTGATGGCCAATGACTTGGATGGCTTTAAAAAAGGATCAGACAAATTCACGGAGGATTGGCTTTACGATACTGCTTTAAGTGAATAGTGCAGATAAGGCCACACTTTTAGGGTTGCTGTTATAAGTAATTCTGACATGGCTTTGCACTAACGAATCAGAGAGCTTTAAATAGGTGGTGTGGATGTGGCCTAAGTTAAGAAAGTATTCATGATCGCTTCCTGGAAAAGTTGCACTATCTTAAATGATGTGCAACATGCTATTTGGCAGGAAGGTCAACAGTGTAATGGGCGGTTCTGCAAGTTGCGTGTTGCCGTTTTAATGTGGCAGCAGCTGTTTCCAGATCACCTGTTTTTTCCTCTCTCCTCAACTTAGCTATCCCTTCCTCCATTGGCTGGTTTTGGTTCACAAACAAACCAGTCCCTCAGTATGGCAGGGAAGGGGAACCTTGGAACCAGAGGCCAAATGCGGCCCCTTAGACCTCTGTACCTGGCCCTCAAGACCTCTCTCACCAGCCCCACCTTGCAACCTTCCTGCCAGTCTGGAATGTGCACTTAATACTCTAATAATGCAGTTGGCCTGGATGGAGGACAGAGTGAGAGACTGGTGCAGAAACTAGCTACTTAGGGGTGCCAACTTGAATAAAATATTGGGGGGGGCAGGTAAGCCCCACATAATCGATCGCCAAGACGCAGTGCATGCACACCAGTTGAATGGCAATGACCATCAACTGGGGGGCGGGGACGACTGGCTGGCCCTCTCAAATATATTTTTTTAGGGGCTGAAGAGACTTTGGCCCCTAGGAGTTGGTTCCTATGAGCCTGCTGTACAAAGGTAAGATTCACACTCAGGTCATTTTTGCCTCTGACTCTGCCCACTGCTGACATGTGGCCCCTGGAAGACTGCACAGAAGGGAAAGCGGCCCTCAGGCTGAACACTTCTGCCCGCTCCTGCTCTACAGCTATTTACGGCAGTGTCGGGCAGACTAAGCTTGCAATACTTTACCACAAGTAAAATACGAGCTGCAAGAATGACCCTTAGACTATACTGACAAAAAAAAACCCCTGTTAAAACGGCGTAGGCCTAATGTTCCGTTTGAAGCTGAATCATAATCTGTTTGGTGATACTACAGGCCACACACAATTAGTCACAGTTCTTCTTTTCCTTCTCTCTTTCTCTCTCCCGTTCTACAATTAGCAACTGCCTGCTGCAAGACAAAGGAAGGCAGTCTGCTTAGCATGGCCCATTCGACATACACAGGCCAAGCGAAAATCCCAGCTGTCTTGGACAGGTCATGAGATCTTTGCAGGAGTGCGGAATCCAGATTTTTATCTTGCCGCCACCCTGTGGACCAACTGTGACAAGTCGGTAGGGATCACCCACCTGTCAATTATCTGACCCCTGCATTTGTATCCTGAAAGGACCCCTGGACGATTAAGTCCAGTCAAAGGCGACTATGGGGTTGCAGCGCTCATCACGCTTTCAGGTTGAGGGAGCCGGTGTTTGTCCACAGACAGTGCCTCCACCCCCATCATTTTGCCATGACAGGGAACCAGGCAGAGGGCCTTCTTGGTAGTGGCGCCTGCCCTGTGGAACGCCCTCCCAGCAGATGTCAAGGCAATAAACTACCTGACTTTAAAAAGACATCTGAAAGCAGCCCTGTTTAGGGAAGTTTTTAATGTTTAATATTTTATTGTGCTTTTAATTCTGTTGAGAGCTGCCCAGAGTAACTGGGGAAACCCAGCCAGATGGGTGGGATACAAAATAATAAATAATATATTATTATTATTATTATTATTATTATTATTATTATTTTGCCAGCATGCCTAAACAGCTTCCAGCGCAACAGAACACTGTGATGGAAGCCAGAGCACACGGAAACGCCACCATGTGGCTAAAGTTCCCCTGTGTTACCTGCACCACTTGGCAGGAGTGAACCCCACAACCTGCCCCTCACCTGATGTCACCCAGTGACGTCAGCTGATTGGTTTGGGGGAGTGGGGGGGGGGAGATGGCTTTATGGACCAAACTGACCAGCAAACTGGAGGTTCCCTACCGCAGCCACATGGGCTCGTACATCTATAAGTCAACCCCGACACATTTCGGAGATCTGAACTCACCTGGTGGGCTAATTCTACCATTACTACCATTCTGCCGTTGAAGATGTTCTTTATAGCATACAGAACACATGCCATTCGTACGAGGGTTTCCGTAAAATCCGCACCCAGTAGAACAAAGCATAGGCACTTGGCTATGGTTGGTTTCTTGAGCCATACTCTTTTTCTAGTGACCTGGGAAAACAAGACAGTCGGCTTAGTCAAGGAGTTCAGACCCGCCCTTAAGTTTTTTGCATTCGAGACATTCCACAAAGACATCATGAAGCCCCTACCAACCTGAGACCAGCATGACCTTTAAGTTCAAGTATACCATCGGGATCTATACACCGAGTCATAAGAGGTTTGCAGAAAGAGGTGGTCAGTGGCTGCCCCTCTTATTGAAATTCTCTTCTCTGGAGACTTGCCAAAGCTGCAGCCTATGCATCTTTCACTGGTGGTGCAAGACATTTTTATTCAAGCTGGCTTACAATAGCAATGCAGAGTATGGTATAATTGCAATATTGTGACATATCCTACTCTGGACAAACTATGAGCTGTAGCTAAAAACTTGTTCTTTGACCAGGGCTAGCCACTGTAGTGCCTCTCATCATCATCACAATCATTTTACAGTAGTACCTCGGGTTAAGTACAATTCGTTCTGGAGGTCCGTTCTTAACCTGAAACTGTTCTTAACCTGAAGACCACTTTAGCTAATGGGGCCTCCCGCTGCCGCTGCAGCACAATTTCTGTTCTCATCCTGAAGCAAAGTTCTTAACCCGAGGTACTATTTCTGGGTTAGCAGAGTCTGTAACCTGAAGCGTCTGTAACCTGAGGTACCACTGTATTTGTATGGCCCCCTTTCCACAGTTAAAACCATGGTCAAAGCAGCTTACGGGGGGGGATACATAATTGCAGAAGCTATAAACAATAAATATAAAATTGACAAAACTGGACAATTGCCACATAAGTCAAAATAAGAGCTGAAAAGAAAGATACCAAAAAAAAAAAAAAACCACAGCAGCAGCAGCAACAACAAAAAACCCAACAACACCCCACTAAACAATACTGCAGTTTAAGCATCTGTTCAGCTTTTGCAGTTGGAGTCTGTCAGGGCCCTGCCTTTCTAGGCCAGGAGGGGGAAAGCCAGCAAGGCAGGGGGCAGGTCTTCCAGGTCTTAAAGCCAAGATGGTCTCTGGCCGCCTCAGCTTTTGTAGCTGGAATCTGTATTTTTACATTTTTACCTAATCGTTTGACAATTCTTAACAATTATAAGGAAAACTGCTCCAGAGAAAAATACTTCAGAAATAATACTCTACAAGGAAATATTCCTTAACATAAAATTACCATTAACAAAAATGAAACAAAACTCAAAGCCTACTTGAATTTGCATTGCGGGAGGTAATTATTTTCTTGACAAAATTGTATGAGGGGCAACCAGTTTTCCCATAATTGACTTCCATATCACTTGGAATTCTTATACTTAGATAATTTGTTTTTTGACGTTATAGCCAAATCCCAAACTTTATTAAGCCAATCTTTCTGAGAAGTGAGAGTAATGAAACTTTACAATTTTCAGTCATTAATATTATTACAGCTGTTAACAAATAGGGTGCAGGTTCTAATTCTCAGAGTGGTTTAACACTCAAGTCCTCTTCCCAGGGAACTCTGGGAATTGTAGTGAAGCAAGGGGAATAGGGGTCTCCTAGCAACCTCCAACACCATTAACAAAACTACTGTTCCCAGAGTTCTTTGGGGGAAGTCATGACTATTTAAAGTGGTTAGAGACTGATTTAAATATATGGAGCAAATGGGGCCTGTGCTTGGACTAGAACATATACCAGAACAGAGGTGCCAGGAGGAAAATCCATGGCAGCTCAGTGCATGCAGAAACAATTCCCTGAAATCCGAAAGTTTGATTTGAGTGATTTTATTAAAATCATGAGTGGCAGTGTAGGAAGGTTGGGGGAGGGGGGGGGGGAACCAACACCGTCAAATAGACAAAAACAGGAAGTAGTATAGGAGGATGAGTAAACCTCTGAAGAAGAACAAGAAAAACCGGATCCAGTTCTAGCTGAGCCAGCTCCCCAATTTTGTAGCTAGAGGATGAAGGCAGGAGACAGCATCTAGGATAAGAACTCTTGAAAAAGCATTCTGCACACTGTCAACACTTTCAAAATATTGAAGATGTAAATAAACCTGAGTTCCTCAAGAATCAGGAGAAAAACCCCAGATGTTAGAAGGTTTCTGTCTTGAGGGAACTTTTTTAAAATGGGAAAAAAATTAAGATGAACTTAAAAGCCGATCAAGAAACAGAACAAGGTTTCACCACCTTAGTGAGAGCAGAACGGGACATTATGCAGCAAGTTTATCAGTTAAGTGTACTGGGTTCCCTTCCTGACCCCTGACAAAAAGCAGCTGTGGAGGGAGGGGTGAGAAGGATGTTTAACCCTTTCTCTTCCTGCTATTTGTCTCCTCAAAGATTGCTTTTCCATGGGGGTTGGGAGAAGAGCCATGGATGCTCCCCTCTATGCTCCTCGGAGGACAAGTGGGACAGAGATGTAGACGCAGCCTAGTTTGGCCCTGAAATCAACAATGCAGGTGGAAAATGCTCTATTAACAATACAAAGAACTTCATACCAGTTTTAATGTAGCCCTTTGACATACAGGGCCGCTTTGTAGTAGTAGTAACAGGGTGCTGTGCCAAAGAGTGTACAATCTAGATCTGCTAGTGGTGGCTGGAGAGGTTGGGAGATGTCAGCTTTTGTTTCAGGTGGTGATTAAGACTTCTGGGTAAGGCGAGGCTTTATGGAAGAAAAGACTTTGAAAGAGATGAGGAGGCATATGGAGAAACAAGGGGAAAGCTAAGAACCTAAGATGAGCCCTGCTGGATTCATGTCAAAGGTCCCTCTAGTCCAGCATCCAAGTTCACACAGTGGCCACCCTGATGCAACGACACCCCCTCCACCTGTGACCCTGCGCAACTGTCATTCAGAGACTCAGTGTCTCCAACAGTGGAGATGATCTCAGCTGTCATGAGTTGTAGTCATTGATAGCCTTCTCCTCAATCACCCACCCCGTCATAGGAACCGCCCTACTGGATTAAACCAAAGGCCCATCTAGTCCAACAAAGGTAGACAAGTCTGAAGAGCACAGACTGTGGATGAATAAATATTGGGCTGTGAGGGCTGGGCTGTGATGAGCTTTAAAAATTTAGAGGGCAAGGCAGCAGCTAGTGAAGGGTTTGAAGACATCACATGGTCTTGAGCTGTTTTCTCCGCTGCCCTCCAGATGTTTCAAGACTACAATTCCCATCAGCCCCAGCCAACAGATGATGGAAGTTGTAGTCCAACAACATCTGGAAGAGCATCAAGTGGGTTTTAAGCGGTGAGGGAAATGAATGATCACCTCCAACAGGGTTAGAGGCAAGAGAGTGTGTGATTCAATAAACCTACCAAGGCACAAGTGATCTCATTCAGCTTGACACTACCAAGAAACAACAGCTGAACAATTGCTGATGACTGTGGAGCATGAGGATGCAAGAAAGCAAAGCCAGGAGTTGTTATTTAATATTACTACTCCAGCCTCGAAACCTTGCATACCTGTTAGCATTCCCAGGCTACAAAAGCCAATTAATAGGATCAGAGACAGCTGCATTTAGTAGGATTAGCCCCCAAATCTCAGGCTTTTAATCCTCCTATACAAAGAGCCAATTTCAACTGGGGTGAGCGAGGAGGAATCAGGATCTTGAGTCACAGCTTAACCAACTGTTTGTTACAGCGTAAACATAGAAATCATAAAATCAGAGTTGGAAGGGACTCTGAAAACCATCTAACCCAACCCACGTCAATGCAGGAATATGCAGCTGTCCCATACAGGATAAAACCTGCAACCTTGGCGTTATCAGCGCCATGCTCTAACCAACTGAGCTATTCAGGCACATGCTGTACCCCAACCTGTGTGGTGTCTTCAGTGGCCGCTATGGCCCCAATCAACTCCTAAGCAAGACTGGCTCAGAAAGACTGCAACTTTCAAATAACTTTGATCAAGAAAACAAGGGTGTCCATCAAACACAGCTAGGAGAGAAAGGTGCTAATTGCAGAAAGAAATACCCAATGGCAGTCTGCTAATACTGTAAGTCACAGGAAAGCAAGAGCAGAAGTCAACAGGTATATCCTGAGCCAGGGTGGACAGCACTGGGCCAGCATAATGTTGTGGCACTCCAACTCCCATCAGCCCCAGCCAGTACGGCCAATGGTCACGGATGGTGGGATTTGTAGTCCAGTAACTTCTGGAGGGCACCATGTTGGCTGCAAGATAATCAATGTTTACGTGCCAAGCTTTGATGAGAAAGGATTTGGCTCCAATGAAGCGTGCTCATATTGAAGTTAATGAACATGACTAACTTAGGTTCATTCATTTCAGTGTGTCCTCTCCGAGTAGGACTTAGTTGGATAGAACACAATATTTATAAGTATGGCCACCAAAACGTTAGATCATTTTCAACCCCCACCTCCCCCAAATCAAGATTTACTAAATGCAAATATGCAACACTACGTGGACACAAACTTATGAAATTGAAACAGGTATCCAAGGCAGGAACATAGGCCAGGAAGAGAGCGGGAGGCGAAGAGCTGAAGAGTTGATAGTATTTGGGTTGTGTTCGTCTAAACTCCTAACAGGAGAAACCAGAGTTCCATCTTTGCTCTATTTGCACCACCCTTGGGGAGGCAGATTGCAAGAGCGTTTGAAATGCCTTCAACCAATGTCTTGCCAGGCCACATGTAACGTGTTAATCCTAGCATATAAAGCCGCAAATGGCTTGGGACCCAAGTACCTAATAGAGTACCTTCTTCTATGCCAACTGTCATGGACTCTATGATCAGCAGGTGAGGCCTGGGACAGCTCAGTTGGTAGAACATGAGACTCTCAGTCTCAGGGTTGTTGGTTTGAGCCCCACTATGGGTGAAAGATTCCTGCATTGCAGGGGATTGGACTAGATGATCCTCGCAGTCCCTCCCAACTGCCCCACGACAGGGCCTTTTCATTGGTGGCCCCATGGTTGTGGAATGCCTTCCCTAGTGAGGTGTGCCTGTCTCCATCATTATTAACTTTCAGGAGGAATTTGAAAACATTCTTGTTTACATTCTGTGTTTTTATGTTGTGATTTTATCGCCCTGAGACGGGCGATTTATTAAAAAAAAATGAAAAATAGACATTTGGTGGTTGAAGACTACGATTCCTGGAAATCTTGAAATCATTTGCCGGAAGTCTGTTTTTAATTGCAACTGCTTTCAGGTGTTTTTAGAGCATTTTGGTTTTGTTTTAAAACTGTATATACATTTGCTGCCTTGGACTCCTTTGGGAGGAAGAATGGGAAACAAATTCAATCAATAATTTTAGGAAGTTTCACCTTCAGAGCAAGCCCTCGAGTCTATAGTACAGCGTGAATAGCTTAGTTACACGGAAACAGTAATTACTACTTACAAGAAAGGCTGAGTGCAGCTGTGATACGGATTAGTGGAACACCGGCTTGAGGATCAAAGATTATAATGGGCTATAAAGTGGAACACGCCAATAACTCTGGTTAATCTCAGGGAGAAGAAGACGCAAAGAGCAGGAAAAACTTCGTTTACACGAAACATTCCTGACAAGCAGCAAATGGGGAGGAGGAGAAAAGTCACCCTTTCCTAAGTAAAAAGCTTTCACAGCATCCTACTGTGCGGGTCCTCAAGTCCTATCACAGTAATTATCAGAAATATGCCACTCTGAACATGATTTATAAAGAAGTGCCGTGACACCAGCTTTTATTTTACAGCACGCCATTTCAATATCGACTTAAGAAAAGGAGCTGTAAACAAAGCTCAGGCTCTCTGAACGTGGACTGAAAGGAGAGCTTTTCACAGAAGTGTCAATTCCAGAAGCAAAGTGATTTATTAAGAAGCTATCGACTGGTTTTTAATTGTTTTGAATGTACCACTTTACGCCAAAGTGTCTTAACGTGCCTGTGAGGGCAGAAAAGACTAAATGAAACAGCCCAACAAAAAAATTATTTAGATGGCCGTCAAATGACAACGCTTCTTCCTTTGAGAAGATGAGAAATTATCTCTTAGAAAACGGACCACAGTCATTCATGAGCATGGAAAAGTTTTAAAAAACTTCTGACTGGAGAATAATTCTGATTAGTGTTACAGACTGGGCAGTATATAACAACAGTGGGGAATAATTCTCATATGCTGATCTTTCAGCGAACTCCAATAATAAAATATGGGCAGGGCTAGCTGTTTCGGTTCTTTTATATTGCCCTAATAAGCCTCACTTAAGAACATAAGAAGAGCTTGCTGGATCAGGCCAATGGCCAATGCCATGGGTAGGCAAACTAAGGCCCGGGGCCGGATGCACCCAATCGTCTTCTCAATCTGGCCCGTGGACGGTCCGTGAATCAGTGTGTTTTTACATGAATAGAATGTGTGCTTTTATTTAAAATGCATCTCTGGGTTATTTGTGGGGCATAGGAATTCGTTCATATTTTTTTCCAAAATATAGTCTGGCCCCCTACAAGGTCTGAGGGACAGTGGACCGGCCCCTGCTGAAAAAGTTTGCTGACCCCTGGCCAATACAGTCCAGCATCCTTTTTTCACAGTGGCCAACCCGATGCCTATGGGAAGGCTGCAAGCAGGACCCAGGTGCAAGAGGATCCTCTCCTTCTGCGGTTTTCAGCAAATGGTATTCAGAAGCAAATTACCACCAGGGGTAGCAGCTACTGAGAGCCTTCTCCTCCATGACTTTGTCTAATCCTTTAAAATAACCCAGCCATCTGGGCTGGTGGCTATCACTGCCGCTTGTGGGAGAGAATTAAAACCAAGAGCTGTGTGAATAATGACTTTCATTTGTCTGTCCTGAATCTTTGTTGGATCTCCCCGACTTCTAGCGCTATGAGTAGAGCGGAGTCATGTATCGATTCATCGTCCAAAACTGATCTAAAGTTCAGATCGCGATTTCAGAGTTTTGGGCAGGCAATGTGTCATGAATCCTCGCTCCCCCTGGGCACAGCCAGCATTGCGCACTTCGCTCCCAGGTGCCATGCAAGGCTGCCCAATGATCGCCAACTCCTCCCTCAGCCCAGCCGCCAGCCTCGGGAGCCCAAGACTCAAGTAGGGCTTGCCTGCCTGCCTGCCTGCCTGCCAGCCAGCGCCTTTGCTTCTTTCTCTGGTCCTGCAAGCGGCCGCCTCCTCACTCCCTTTCTCCTCGTGCCAGGTGATGATGCACCCAGGTAGAACAGAGCCGCCTCCCGTGCCTTGCGTGACATTCTAGAGGGTAGTTCCTGGTAGCCACCACTTGCAAGATGAGAGCTCCAAGGAGGCTGGCGGCGCTCCAGGGCTACGTGTTTGCGTTTGCGTTGCCATGAGGTGCCCTTGCTGATGCGCTCTGCCTGGGGCTGTGCAGCCCGCCCTCACCATGAAGCGGCAGAACTGCGCACAATGGAGCCGATCGTCTGCATGGCCGGCTGCCGAGGGCTGGGGGCAACCGCCTTCTTCCTCCCACCTTTCCGACACCATGATATACAGTAATACCTCATGTTGCGTTTGCTTTAGGTTGAGGGTTTTCAGGTTGCGTCCCACAGCGACCCGGAAGTAACGGAAAGGGTTACTTCTGGGTTTCGCTGCTCGCGCATGTGCTCAAAATGACATCACACGCATGCGCAGAAGCGGCGAATCGCAACACGCGCAGACACGGGTTGCGTTCTGCTCAGGTTGTGAACAGGGCTCCGGAATGGATCCTGTTCACAACCAGACGTATCATTGTATTGGGATATATCGCGAGGTTTAACCTCCGGACAAAAAAGGTTGCCTTGTGTCTGTCTGTCTTTCGTATGGTAAGCCAAGGCACTAATCCCTTTCCTTTAGTACACCCTGATCAAAGATGAAACACACAAAATGTGAGTGTAGCCTGCTTGTTGGTATGCAGTTTGGGGCATCCAGAAGCAAAAGGGAACATGGTTAATATTTAATTTCCACTCTATGATTTCAGCACTGGCCATTCAAGAGTAAATTTCTGGCTCAATCCAAGTCAATGCCCTTGAAAATTAATTTCAGCCAATTCAGTTCTACAGCAAAAGAAACAAAACTCCACAACACAACCCACTCTTATCCTGTGCCAGATCATTGATCCACTAGCCTAGTACTATCTTTGACTGTCAGCAGCTTTCAATGGCCTCAGGTCAAAAGATGTCTTTCCCAGCTCTTCTGCCTTTGCGTGGAGAGGTCAGGAAGCAGGTCTGGAATTGCCTACCCGCAGAGCATGTGTTTTATCAGAGTCCTCTATCCCCAGGTAGAGCACTTTGTCTCAAGTTGCTCTGATACTTCTGCTTTCTACTTGTTCAAACTATGCACGTAAACAGCAGAGAACGAAAAAACATTTCTGCCCAGAGGATATGAAAAACATTTTCTTCTTTAAAAAGGGGACATTGCCACATTTGTCTCAGCAAATGGCAGGTTTTACTATTTTTAGACCAAAGCCTCAGATGTTTCGCAAAGAGCGCTTTCAAAAAGAGGAAAAAAAAATCTATAGATTTTGGATTTCACATCAAAGAAACAGGTTTTTGTTTTTTTTAATGAGATTTTCCAGTTGCACAAATTTCCTGTTGGACATCCCAAACTTACAAGTGTAAAAAGCCAAATGAACACAAGGTGTGCTTTGCTCCTTGCTTACGGTATTATTGCTTGGGTGCTTGTGAGCTCAGGGGTGTATATGTATATGTATATCACACATACACACACACACAGTGTCAAACCTCAGTTCCCAAACAGCTCCATTTTGGAATGTTTTGGCTCCCGAATGCTGAAAACCCAGAAGTAAATGGTCCGGCTTTTGAACATTTTTCGGAAGTCAAACGTCCAACGCAGCTTCTGCTGAGTGCAGGAAGCTCTTGCAACCAATTGGAAGCCGCGCCTCGGTTGTCGAACATTTCAGAATCTTAACGGGCTTCCGGAACAGATTACATTCAACAACCAAAGTATGGAGAGAGAGAGAGAGAGAGAGAGAGAGAGAGAGAAAGGAAGGAAGGAAGGAAGGAAGGAAGGAAGGAAGGAGACAACTACCTGCCAGTTCTTCATCTTTCCTACTCCAGCCCTTCTCCTCTCAGTTTATATATAGCAGCTGCAGCACAAGCTTAAAGAGACTCCCAGGCTGACAGCTACCAGGCCCCACAGACCAAACTAGGTAGGCCAATTAACACCAGACCTCTAGAGAAACTGAAGGCCAATGAGATACAAGTTTGTCGCCTGGGCCTATTCCGATCCTGCCAGGCCTGCTAAAATCTCAACAGATTTTCTGAACTATAGCCTGATCTATCTACTCATGGTCCGAAAAATACTTTCGAATGAGAAAAATGATATTTGGTCTCTTGGGAATTCAAAAACAAACAAGCCCGCACCAAAGCAGGAATAAACTGCACAAGTTGCTCCTTCAGGCAGGTGACTCAGTGGAGTCAAGGCAGAGCCAGAATCAGATTAGCAGTTGTCTTCAGTGCGCTCTGCAAACAGGAGGGTTTATTTAAGACATGCCGCTTAATTATTCCTATTTCTAAGGGTGGTCTGCAGAATCAAGTTGCCAACAAATGAAGCTTTTTCCAGAGGGTTTCTATATGGTTTTTTTCAGACTCACCTGGGTGATCTGAAAAACCTAACTAGGAAACAGAGGAGTTTACTGAGCAAACCCAAAGGGGATTAAAATATATTAGTAGTGGCTGTCCGGATCTCCTCTGCCCCTCATACCATGCTGAAGTTCTGTCCCTGTCTCTCATGGAGTTTGGGGGAGAAGGGGGGACATAAAAAAATGGTGACTGTAACACTCCTTCAGGAAAGCAAATGACAACAACTGTTTTCATTGATCAAATTCTGGGCACTGAGTGTGTTGAGAGTGTGCCTTTGAGGACAAGGTCAAATTATTTTCAGGGTCCCCAATTACATAAACACTGTGCAGGTGCTTGGCTGCGTGTTTGCTGCCAAACCCCATAATGCCAACATCAAGAGGCTCATAAGTGCAAGTGTTGTACTAAAAAATAAAAGCAGGGCCTGACTACTTGCAGAAACAGGAAACTTCTATCTTTGCACCTATTATAATATGCCACCACTGGCTGAGTGGGAGGCCAGACAGTGTTTGAAACGTGCTAGACGAGGGTGGTTCAGTGGAGGGACGCGGGTGGTGCTGTGGGTTAAACCACAGAGCCTAGGACTTGCCAATCAGAAGGTCGGCGGTTCAAATCCCCAGGACAGGGTGAGCTCCTGTTGCTCAGTCCCTGCTCCTGCCAACCTAGCAGTTCGAAAGCATGTCAAAGTGCAAGTAGATAAATAGGTATCGCGTTTCCGTGCGCTGCTCTGGTTCACCAGAAGCGGCTTAGTCATGCTGGCCACATGACCCGGAAGCTGTAAATAAAGCGAGATGAGCGCCGCAACTCCAGAGTCGGTCACGACTGGACCTAATGGTCAGGGGTCCCCTTTACCTTTACCTAGGCACCAGGCACATATTGCACCTGGCTTTCAACCACTTGCGACCAAGTGAGGATGCCCAGGCGCCAGAATGGCACCTGACCTCTCCACCATCTGGAGATCATTGGATTGGGACTGTTTTCACACACTAATCCCCATCCTGTAGAATTCTATCACTTATATTTTATTTGCACAATCAGATGCATTTCTGGAACCATATTGTTTTTTCTGGGCAGTCGGAGCAGAAGAAGTCACCATTAAGACAGAGAGGTTGGATTTTGCCAATGCACACCTGGATCAAGCGACTTTTCTTCTTTCTCAAAGCTCTTAACCTAGCTCAAGGTTGTCATCTGAACTCGCCAACTGAGAATCAATCACAGTCAGTCCATCATTTGAAAAGTAAGACTTTAGAGCCATCTTCCCGAAGACATTCCATTTTGGCGACTGCAACCTTGGTTTAAGGAGCCATTTGGCGCCTAGCTTATATATCTGAGTTTCTAACACAAAGAAGGAACGGGGTGCAAGACAGGTCCAAGGTTAACTTTAAAGGTTATTTGCAAGGATGCAACAAAGTGTTGCCTGCTTGAAGATTAAGAAGAAGTGGTTCTGCCGAAAAAGGAAGGCGTTTTAATATGGTTTGGGCAGTTTAAGTATGGAAACTGAGTGCACTTTACCAAATAATGTGTATATGCTGTCCCTGGCATTGCCTGTTGTTTAAGGGGTTAATGAGCACATATACCTGATGTGCCCAGCTACACTCCCCTTTACCAAGTGCACATAATCAGCTTTCCAACTGCACATTTCCCTCCCAGTTGTACATTCTGTGTCCAACTGCACACTAGAAAAAACAAACAAACCGTGGAAAGAATCCGTATACAGGAAGAAAGACAGATACTCCTGACAACTGCATTCACACCCTCTTTCCAACCAAAGAAAGAGCACAATGATTTATACACACTATGTGGCAGGATGCCAATTTCCTATTGTGTCATCTTGTCACAAAATCAAGCTGCCTGGATGAATACGGATTGAACAGGAGTGTGCGCACGCGTTAGCAAGGACGATTAATATTGCAAGGAGAGAAGAATCACTGGCTTTGCCGGAAGGCGAGATTAGACGGTAGCCAACACGTGACGTCTATGTCACTTTTAACCCCAAGGAAGTACCCGTGGCTGCTTTCCTACTTGACCGCTACTTCCTGCTTTGACTCTCTGAACTTAATGCACCGTCTAAGAATAGGGAGGGAGAAAGGGGGTGCTATTTTTAGAAGGGAAGGCTGGCTGAGAGACAGATGGGGAACTGAGCTGAGTTTACACAACTCTTCATTTGGAGATCACCACCCTATGGATTCTGACCACCCTATTTTGAAAGAGAAAGACAGGCAAAGAACAGCACAGCGATTTCTGTAGGTCGAAGGGAGTCTTTGGCTGTGTAGGTATGTTTGTGTTTATTTATGTATTTGGACCAGCCACGTCACAACACATGGCAAGCCACTTTTGCAGCCTAGGAATTTGTTTTACAAAAGCAGTTTGTGGCACAGCATGCTTTAAAGCAGGCTTTCCCAAACTTGGGTCTCCAGATGTTTTGGGACTACTGTACAACTCCCATCATTCCTACCTAGCAGGAGCAGGGGTCAGGGATGATGGGACTTGTAGTCCAAAAACAGCTGGTGACCCAAGTTTGGGAAACCTTGCTCTAGAGGGCCAATAATTGCACTGAGCGTGCCCAAGACATAATAAGCATGCCTGAAGTAGCTGTTTGAACCCCAAGCAGCACAGTCTTCAACCAGGGTTTGTATGATAGTTCAAAAGAACAACAACAACAATCAATGTTTCTCTGTCAGTGTGTTGACATTTTCCAAACACAAAGCACACAAATCAATATTTAAATATACCCCTTTCAACATATTTGCTCTTGAGATAAATATTTCTGATAAATGCATGCTAATATATTTTTGAAACGAGGAACCATGTTGGCAGTTTTAGGAAACCCGAAAGCCAGTGGATAATTAAATTACAATCTGCACATTCATGCAGGAGATGCAGATGAGTTTAGTTTAATTTTCTCAAGCGTTCCTACTCAAGGAAGGACTCAGTCTGCCAAAATGAGATGTACTTAAACACACACACGAGGTCTGTTCTTTCTGAAGAAGTGGAGCCATGCATGCTCAGGTTACTAGTCCACAACAGTTTCAGAAATCTACATTAGTTATTTCCTGCTAATATTGAAAGAAAGAGAAATCTAGTCAGTATTGCTCCTGTTTACTGAAACCCTTCTGCCTGGTGTAATGTGAATCCTTGAAGCAAGTGACAAAGCAAGTACCAATTCACAAGTCTAAGATGTCATTACTATGAGAACATCGTAGCACTTAGCTTTCCAGAGTCATTGTTATCCAACTGAATACCGGTAAATGCCTAAATAGCAGAATACACTCAAAGTGTTGGCCAAAGACAGTATCATGAATGAATAAACTAGATATCATAATCTCATTATTATTATCATTAGCACTGTTTACCCGCCCTTCACGCTAAGGTCCTAGGGTGGGTCAATTAGAAGTACAACATTCAAAAGCAGTTAAAACAAACTGCAATCACAGGAATAGGGTGGGCCCTAATATATATATATATCTCAAACGGCCAGGGTAAAGAGCTGTATCATCAGCATTTCATACATTTACATATTGTCCTTTTCCCGCCAAATGCTCAAGGCAGTGTTCATGGGGTTGCCATGTGTCTCCCATCCAGACTTAAAGCTGCTTTGCTTTAGCAGGCGAATGCACCCTAAGGCCTAAGATATATGCCCTGGCAAAGTACTGGGAGATCCATACCCTCCAACATTTTTCCGACGAAAATAGTGACATCCTACTCCATAATAATAATTTTACTATTTATACCCCACCCATATGACTGGGTTGGCCCAGCCACTCTGGGCGGCTTTCAACATATATAAAAACAAAATAAAACATTTAATGTTTTAAAACTTCCCTATACAGGGCTGCCTTCAGATGGCTCGGGGGTCGGATAATTCCATACCCTCCAACATTACTGTGCTGAAAATAGGGACACCTGGGATGACTTCTGTAAATCTGGGACTGTCTCTGGAAAATAGGGACACTTGGAGGGTCTGGGACATCAATTCAGTGTATTTTTTAAAAAAAATTGCTGCCCAATTAATCTGGGACATCTTTTTAGTTGACTGAAAGTTTTATATTGATGAATCTAACCAATCTCCTGGATGAGAAGAAGGAGGAAGAGTTCTGCATGAGCTGGAGACTGACCTAAGCACATTCCCATACTGATCAACGTTTATGTGATAATGCTGCTGAGCGATTAAAGCACTTTATAAATGCCAAGCATGAATAATGCAAGTAAGGCAATGCAGTTTTATTCCAAGACGCATCATCTGATAAACAGGGTTCAATCAATTCTTAATTGCAGGATGGATAGCTTTAGCAGTGTGACAAAGATAGATGGAGGGAGGCTTGTCAATGATGAGGGTAGGTGGGGAAAATAATTTAAGCAGGGAATGAGTGGCATCCTGCAAGAACTTGCTAACACTGACTGACACAACCCACAAATAGGTCAAAAGTTGCACATGACTCTGCAGCTTGTAAATTAGTCACCATCTGAAAAAGCAAAGCGCCACGTCAGATAATGAAAGAGGCAGAGAGGATTTGCTTCAGTACTGAAACGATACCAAAAAAAGAAAAGTTGTTTTTTTTCAATATAACAAGCACTGAGGCACAATAAAACCTGTCAACTGGCCTGTTGTCTTTAAGGGGTCATGAACGGGCCAGAATTCCTGAAGCTGTGAAACAAAATTATGTCCTACAGTTGATTCATATGCTGGCCTCCTAGGTGGTAAAATCCTTGTGCAATTTAGCACTTCAGTTTCATGTGATAAGCCTTTCGATTCTAATCCACCCAATAGTGAAATTACCAGGATTTTCACAACAGAGAGAGAAGTTTATAGAGGCAGTGGGACGTAATAGCTAGAGTCTTGGACTAAGACCAGGGAGACCTGGATTCAAATCTTCACCATGAAGCTCATTTAGGGACTCTAGGACAGCTAGCCATTTTCACCCTGACCTACCTCACAGGGCTGTTGTGAGCATACAATGGGGAGGGGGTTGTACCAAAATGACTCAAGGAGGTTGTTGTTGTTGTTTTCCAGAGGAAAACCTATGAATCTGTCATTATCGTATCTCTTTGGCTCAAAAGGAAGCCAAAAGTGTGTGTGCCAAATAAAGCAGGTGCTTTCAAATATTTGCATGCCGTTAGCTGGCAATAGGACTCTGAGGCAATAGATCAAGCTTGTGTGTGTTCTGCAGCCTCATGCATGTTTAGTTGGAAGCAAGTCCCACTGTGCTGGGCTTACTCTCAAGGAAAGCAATTCAGCACTGCAGTCTAGCTTTACTTCAATGTTCCTTAAAAACCCACAGAAACCTATCTTCGTCAATTCAGCTTTTCCTTCACCTGTCACAAAAAGTCAAGATTTGTATTGCTTATAGCCAATGTCCATCACAATACAAACCACTAAACAAACTGTAAGTAAAGTGAAAGGATGATGATGCTGATAATCCAGAAGGACATTAACATAAAATATCAGAAATACAAATACAGTGGTACCTTGGGTTACATATGCTTCAGGTTACAGACTCCGCTAACCCAGAAATAGTGCTTCAGGTTAAGAACTTCAGGATGAGAACAGAAATCGTGCTCCGGCAGCGCGGCGGCAGCAGGAGGCCCCATTAGCTAAAGTGGTGCTTCAGGTTAAGAACAGACCTCCGGAACAAATTAAGTACTTAACCCGAGGTACTACCGTAGTTAAAATCTAAGACAATAAAAAATACCCTGTATCATTTAAGTTAACAAGTCTGCATGGCAGCCTACATTGTTTTGGGCCTAAAAAAAGTAGATCATAGAACTGTAAAGCTGGAAGGGACCACAAGGGTCATCCAATCCAACCCCTAGCAATGAAGGAATATTTTGCCCAATGTGGTAATCAAATCCACAACCCTGAGATTAAGAGTCTCATGTTATACCAACTGAACTATCCCTGTAATCCATATGTTCTGCACTGCTAGCAGCATATAAAGCTACCCTTTTGGTAACAAACTTGTCCATGTCAACCAGCAGACATCTAATTTTAAAATCATATGATTGGCCTCCTGGAACAAGGTGGCTATCCTGTAGCCATCCAGATATTATTACAATTTGCATTATGCCTTACCATTGGCCATTGCTGACTGGGGCTGCTCGGAGTCAGAGTCCAACAACATCTGGAGGGCAATGAATTATCCAAACCCATCTACTAAATATTTCGGGAAACTGTTGCTCTGTTTGCTATACATTTGGACACCTCTTAAGATATCATAACAAAATATTGCATGATGCTTCCTGAGATTTAGAAGCAGGTTTTTGTCTATGTTTGGATACAGTTGGCTGCCATTTTGACTCAAGATGGCAGACTGAACTTTTCAAAACTGCACTGATTTGTTTGTTTGTTTGATATCCTGAGCAACGCTGGATACAAGGCTGCTAGTACCGGATAACTCTAAAAAAGAGAAATGAATATATATCCTAGTGAATTTATAGAAGGTGATACAGAATATAATGCCTTCCTTGAAGCCTGATTCCTCCACCCCAAGAGATGGTAATTTCTTAACTTTTTTTAAGAGACAGAGAGAAAGAGAGAGAGATTTTAGTGCAGCCAACTGACACGTTTTCCCCTCTTAAACTTTACAATAGTGCCAAATTACACCCTGTAGAAGACACAGAGTAGCTGCTAAATGTCTCCTTATGTCACCTTCTCCCCTATAATTAATGGTTCATTTGCCTATGATGTTGCATTATGAGTTTCCCTGTTCTTCCCCCCACATACACCCCTAAAAGCGAATGCTGTGAATTGGGAAAAGTCAGGGTGGGTGCCACCACGGTTTGCAGTGGCTTCTGCGGGAGTATTCTGCAACAAGAAACTGTCACTGTAGTAGTACATTCGTGCTGGATTTACACCAGACCATCCACAGATAATTCTGCTTCATTAGTTGCTCTGCAATGCCCCTCCAATGCTAACACAATATTGCAGTCTGGAGGGGCACTCTGGCACTACAGTGCAACTGAAGTGGGACAACCACCCTCCCACCATGTCCAGAACATTTGTGGTATAAAAAAGAGTTGCAGGATTTCAGCAGGGAGCTACAGGATGGGTGCAGACCGAAAACAAAGCAGCACAAACACCCTGAAACTTTTGCAGCTGCAAACAGGATTGAAGGTGGGGAATCACATACACCTGTCCCCAATACCACTCAGCACAAAGTATCATGAATGCACAATAAAAAATTGAAAAATAAATTTTAAAAATTGGCAAAAAAAGGACATCCGGAAGGGCCCAATCATGTCACAGGTAAGTGAGGTTATGTGTAACATGGAGAAAGAAAGAAAACACAGCACTGGGAATCGGTCCCACGACCTGCCATAATAAGTCATCTGACCCTTAGCTAAAAGTTTGAACAGAAGATTCAAAAGCAGTTTCTGGAAAGGCTGAACCCGATCAACAAACATCACAGAACACCCCTAGCTAACACAGCCTTGGGAGAGTACTTGCTTCAATTGAAAACAACAACAGTACAAACTTTTTGTACTAATGACACAAGCCACCACACAAACCTGATTTGATATTAAGATTTAATTTTAATTTATTACCAGTCCTTCACCCTAAGGCCCTATGGGGAGGGTTGCCACCATTTAAAAATGCAACATTAAAAACATTTTAAAAACTGAACGAAGTCACAAAAACTAGGGTGGGTTCGAAAAATACGCAGCTCAGGTGTCAAGAGGCCGAGGTGAAAGAGGCAAGACAAGAAAAGCAGGCCTTTTACTGCTCATTTTGCCTTTTCACCAGCAGAGACAGTGATACATAAAAAAGCTTTCATTAATGAAAAGAAGTGTCCCCAGTATGTTTTCCATTCTGTCCAGCTTAAGCTGCTTTGAATAGTATGACAGATAATACGACGATAAGACTATGAGATTGTGCTAGGAAGAAGGAAGGATTTTTTTGTTTTGGCGGCTTCTGCTCCACACACACACACACACACACACACACACAGCTGAAAAGACATTTTGTGCTGTCTGGTATCAAAACTTCTATCTCTCGGCGCTAAACAGACCTATGATAATAAGTTAACACAATATGAATTGTTTAAAAAGGTAATTTTATACATTACAGTGAATGGCAAGCTTGGTGAACTCGTGCAAATTTTTGGTTATTCCAAACACCAAAACGGGTAATTTAATTATTTAAGGCACTTTTGAGCCACCTTGCAAAGTATAAATATTTCCCAAAAGTACCGTACAAATGTAAAATAAAAACATTTCGAAACAGACCTCAAAATTCACAATCATGATATACTTTTAACAGAGGAGCAACACAGCCACTTGAACTCAAGCCAGCAAGCTGTTACCTTGCAGCAGCTGTTAAATATGCTTGTGTTTTTGCTCCTCATTCCAGCACTGGGCTAGGAAGAAAGCCTCTTCCTATGGCAGCACTGCAGTGGGGAGGAAAGACCTTCCCAAACCTGGGCACCTCTTCTGTCTGAACCAGCCAAGAGACAGGTTTACAACTTCAGTGAGAATTAGGCCAGCGTGAGAACACTGAATAGGATATTCCTACCCTGACTTCAGACACAATATCAAACCATGTTTTGTTGTGACAAACCAACATCTGACAAACCATGGTTTTGAGTGGCCAAATCAAACTAGGAACTGAAACTACAGTTTGAAGCTGGTTTGCAAACCACAGTTTGAGGAAACTGTGGTTTGGCCTTGCACCCAAAGTGCAAACCATGACAGGTTGCTTGGCCTTATAGGATCCCAGGCAAACCACTGCACAAATCATTGTCTGCCTGCATGTCTGCAATTTGTGTCATGGTTTGGAGTCTAAACTGTGGTTTGCGCAACCAGGGATCAGGTGTTACCTCTGAATCAACCTACTACATTCCAAAGACCCACTCATAAAATGCATAATAATGTTTTAGGTATTAGGCCTGGATTTGGGCCGCTGAATAAAAGTGCTGAGATTCCCAGGAAGCAGCTGATCATTCCCACTAGCACCTTTTCGAACCTTGAACTACATGCTACAAATGTCTCATTATATAAAATGAATAACCTTTAATGATCAGAAGTTCCAATTCCAGGTTCTGCAAATTCAGAGGCTGCCTGCTCAGTCTCCTGCTTCTGCCTGAAATAATTTTATGCCAATTCAAACCCAATCCATGCAGCAGCAAGGAAGCTGCTGCACTATGGCTCTTCATGCAAGCGGGATACAGTCATACCTTGGTTCTCGAACCATTCCAGAAGTCTGTTCGACTTCCAAAATGTTTGAAAACCAAGGCACAGCTTCCGATTGGCTGCAGGAGCTTCCTGCACTCAATTGGAAGCCGCAGAAGCCGTGTCGGACATTTGGGTTCCAAAGAACATTCGAAAACTGGAACACACACTTTCGGTTTTTCGCCGTTCGGGAGCCAAAACGTACAAGTACCAAGGCATTCGAGAACCAAAGTACGACTGTATTCATTTTGTTCAAACAATAAATGAACAAGTAGCTATTGGTAACACACACAATTGAGACTCTAACATAACTAATTCCCTGAGAATGGCTGTGGCTTAAGTGTCATCCAGTCTTCCCTCAATTACAATTGCTTTCTCTTGACACACTAGCCCTCCAGGGATAAGGAGTCGTCATTTCAAAACACGAGGGAACATCCAAACACTTATTCCCTCCATTTACAACCTCCAAAAAACCTCAGTCTTGGAAGGACTGTACAGTACCACATCATGAAGTTAATTCCCCATGTCTCTGAACCAGTTCCAAGCCACAGGAGACAAGTCATCATCCCTTAAACTGAAAATAAGTGGTGGAGGACAACCTTGCATTATCATGGTTCCTACCAAGTGCAGACCTAATTGCCAAAACAAGCAGGCACTGAAGGCCCTATTTATATCACAAGTTTGAGGTGCATTGGCAAAGCTTTTTGATGATCTCTCCCAGCGGCTTCATGTAGATGTTGAAAAGCATGGGGAGAGGACAGAACCCTGCGGCACCCCCCACGCGAGGGCCCAGGGGTCTGACCACTCAGCCCCCCCCCACCCCTTTCTGACCACGGCCCAGGCGGAAGGAGCGGAACCACAGTATAACAGTGCCCCAGCTCCCAGCCCCTCAAGACGGTCCAGAAGGATGTTATGGTCGATGGTATCAAACGCCGCTGAGAGATCCAGCACAACTAGGAAACAGCTCTCACCTTTGTCCCTAGCCCGCCGGAGATCATCAACCAGTGCGACCAAGGCAGTTTCAGTCCCATGATGAGGCCTGAATCCCGACTGGAAGGGATCCAAATGGTCCGCTTCTTCCATGCTGGTGTTTCCCAAGCTTTTGATACCCAAATACAGACTCCCAGACTGAAATTGGACACACTTCACACAATGAACAGGCATTCTTCTTAGGAACACAGGAAGCTGCCAGACGCATTGGCCCATCTACCTCCGTACTGCCTACAATGAGTGGAAGTGGCTCTCCAGGGGTTTCAGGCAGAGAATCTTCAGCAATGGCAAATGCTCCACCACTAAGTGATGGTCCCAACTTTCCTTGTTATTGCAGGATAGTTAATATTAATTATGGGGGCCCCACCCTGTGACCCATCCCTCAAGGCAATGATGGTGCTTCTGGGATTCTCCTATGTCCATCAGCTGCACTGCATGAGAGACCACTGCCGTGGTGGTAGACCCACTTAAATGAATGAACATGACTGGAGTTAGGTCCATTAATTTCAACAGGTTTTCTCTGAGTAAAACTTGGTTGCATACCACATGAACCTATAGTCTGACCCTGCAGGGCTCTCCTTATGTTCTCGGGGTTTTTCTAGTCCACGGATGATGACATTCATTTTCCAAGGACAGTTCAGCCCCATTCACATCACCCAGGCAGCCCCCATAACACATAGGTCCTATCTGCACTATACATTCAAAGCAGTATCACACCACTTTAAACAGTCATGGCTTCCCACAAGGAATGCTAGGAAGTGAAGTTTGTTACAAATGCTGAGATTTGTTAGGAGACTCACCCCCCACCCCAATTCTCTTCAAAGGGCTACAATTCTCAGAGTGGTTTAACTATCGATCCCTCTTTTTATTATTTCATTTATTTATTCAATTTGTATACTGCCTATGCCCTCAGGTCTCAGGGTGGTCCACAATACAAAAACAAAAAATACATAATCAAACTATAAACAGAAACAACCCAATAACCCCCCGCCAACACATTTTAAAAGGGCACTGGATGTCAATCAGCCAAAGGCCTGGTTAAAGAGAAATGTTTTTGCCTGGTACCTAATGGTGTATTATTTTATTATTGTTATATTATTACAGTATTATAATTATTATATTATTATTATAGTATTATTATTATTATTACCACTACAGTAGTACCTCTGCAGTAGTACCTCTGGATGTGAACGGGATCCGTTCCAGAGCCCTGTTCGCATCCTGAGTAGAACGTAACACGCGACTGTGCATCTGCGCGTGTCGCGTTTTGCCGCTTCTGCGCAAGACATCATTTTGAGCCTCTGCGCATGCGGCGAAACCCGGAAGTAACGGTCGCAGCGGAGCGCAACCCAAAAATGCTTAACCTGAAGCTACTTCAACCCGAGGTATGACTGTACTACTATTAGTAGAGGTGACACACAAAGAAGGGTCTCAGAAGATGATCTCAGGGTCCAGGTAGGTTCATCTGGAAAGAAGCAGTCCTTGAGGTATTGCAGTCCTGAGCCGTTTAAGGCTTTATAGGTCAAAAGGTAAAGGTAAAAGTTAAAGGACCCCTGGACTGTTAAGCCCTGTCAAAGTCAACTATGGGGTTGCAGTGCTCATCTCACATTTCAGGCTGAGGGAGCCGGCGTTTGTCCACAGACAGCCTTCTGGGTCATGTTGCTAGCATGACTAAACTGCTTCTGATGCAATGGAACACCATGACAGAAGCCAGAGCGCACAGAAACACTGTTTACCTTCCCACCACAATGGTACCTATTTATCTACTTGCACTGTGCTGCTTTTGAACTGCTAGGTTGGCAGGAGCTGGGACAGAGCAACGGATTTGAACTGTCGATTTGAACTGTCGACCTTCCGATCGGCAAGCCCAAGAGGCTCAGTGGTTTAAACCACAGCGCCACCCGCGTATAATGAAGGCGCCAGACGAACCTCCCTCTTCCTTGGGAACTGTAGCTCTGTGAGAGTACTGGGGTTTCCTAACCACTCTCAGCACCCTTAACAAATCACACTTCCCAGAATGCTTTGGAGGAAAAGGTGACTTTGAAGGGGCATTATACTGCTTTCAATGTATAATGTCAGTGTGGCCATAGTTTGAGGATAGCTGTTTTAAGCCATTCAGACATGGCTTTGTGCTAGCAAAGGAACTCCTTTTGTTCTAGGTGTTTGTTTTGGCAAAGCAGAACACACTCCAAAGGGCTTGGCCGCCCCCCACCCCTCTCCTAGCAACACAGAGGATTCCAGTCCCTACACTTTGATCCGAACACAAAGTTCAAGATTTCAATTGTTTGTGGACACAAGAGAACAGACTCACAAAGCCGCTTTGGAGGAGACCTAAAGGGAGTGGAGGAAGGAGGAGGTTTTTCACTTCTCTGCAATAACCGACTAATAGACCTTTGCTTCTCCATTTCTAAACAATCGAAATTCAGGAAAAACAAGGCAAGCAAGGTCAGCAGATACAAGCAGCAAGGAAAACCTGATTCCTACTCTCCTCCGTCTACGCATTTAAAGAACTTCCAGAGGGGTAGTTGAGTTTCCTGGTTTTGTTGCAACAGACTAAGTGTCCTGTGCAGTGTTAGAAACTCAGATATATAAACTAGGCACCAAATGGCTTCTTTAACCAAGGTTACAGTCACCAAAACAGAATGTCTAGAGTCTTATGGACTGTCTATGATTGATTATCTGTTAAACATCTGGCTAGTTCAGATGACAACCTTGTTCTAGGTTAAGAGCTTTGAGAACTTGAAGAAAAGTCACTTGATCCACGGACAGCCCACATATATTCCGACCTCTTTTTCATAACGGTGACACGGACCATTCATAAAGTAAGAATATTCTTCACTATTGTGAGCAGGGCAGTGGGGTTGGTGTGTGAAGGCAATTGACAACAATTAACTATAATTATGGCTCCTGCTCAAGCCGCACAGAAAAAGGATTTTGGTTCCTGAAATTCATTCTGATTGTGAAGTTAAAATACCATGGATAGAATTCTATAGGATGAAGTATTAGTTAGGGTTGCCATATTTCCAAAAGTAAAAACCAGGACACCATGAAAGTTGTTCAGCTTTTTTTTTTTAGGAAGACCCCAAAACTGTCTTTTTTTAAGGAAACCCCCCAAATTGCTGAGCTTTCTTTACAAAACCCCCAAAGTTATTGAGCTTCTAATAATGTTACAGGGAACCAAGCAGAGGGCCTTCTCAGTAGTGGCGCCCTCCCTGTGGAACGTGCTCCCACCAGATGTCAAAGCAAACAACAACTACCAGACTTTTAGAAGACATCTGAAGGCAGCCCTGTTTAGGGAGGCTTTTAATGTTTGATGTATTGCAGTATTTTAGTAATTTTTTTTGGAAGCTGCTCAGAGTGGCTGGGGAGGCCCGGCCAGATGGGCGGGGTATAAATAATAAATTATTATTATTAATAATAATAAATAAAATTTGTTTATAATTTGTCGTAATAAATTTGTTAGTGTTTAAGATGACCTCCAGATGCTGTAGGACTACAAATCCCATTATCCTCGACCATTGCCCAGGCTGGCTGGGGCTGATGCAAGTTGGATTTTGACAGCATCAGATGGGAACCCTGTTGGCCTACCCCTACTTTAAGGTGTCTTTAAAGTTAAAAGGAAGGTGACTGTTTTTCGTTTTAGTACTTTTGAAGTTCATTAAAAAATGCAGTTTTGCGAGTTTCAAAATTCAAGCCATGTTTTTAGAGCGTTCATTCAGATAGGTGATGGCAACACAAGGAAAAAACACCACCACCATCTAAGAGACTTTTAAAATAATATGGTGCCAATACTGAAAATTTTGTTTTCTAGCAGGAGTGGTTAAACTCCAGTCCTCCAGATGTTGCTGAACTCCCTTTGTCCATTACTATGGGCTATGCTGGGTAGGAGCTGATGAGAGTTACAGTCCAACAGCATTTACAGGTCCACAATTTAGCCCTAACTTATCCGCAACTCTTAAACTATCACTCAGTTACAGTTTTAACATGTGTAGCGCTTCACAATCCTTTCACTTGTTCTGTCATCCACTGGTGCCGACAATGATTATTCCCATTTCACAGATGGGAACTGAAACATGAGAAAAGGATGTGCATAGGATCATAAAAAGTTCACAGGGCAATTGGGAGTTAAATTTGGCTTCCTGCAGACAGGACTTTTTCTAGTGGTCATCAGTGACAGCTGATGCTGGACGGACAAGGGCATTTCAGGGTTTGTGCGTGAAGATATATGTGTTAGAATTCCTGCTCCATGACTGCAGTCATGGGATTGCTGTCTTTCACATGACGGTGTATGTTTTGACTCCACAAAGTGGGAAGTGACGGAGACAGGATGTTTGTGTTACTGTGTTCTGTGAACTGGGACTATTGTCCTTTGTTTTTTCTCTTTGCTGTCTGATGCTAAAGAGAGGGAGCCATGTTGCAGTGCTCCGTGTGTGTTTATATGTAAATAAAGTAGATTAGCCAAAATGCTGAGTTGCTGAGGTCTGTTACGCAAGCTGTGAAGACTCTGGGGATCCCTAAGTGTGCCGATGTCTGTTGGCATCGGTCGCTGTGATGTTCGGGCTGAAGAAAGCTTTTGAAGCTCCCAAACAATCAACCAGGAGGGAGGGAACATGCCAGTCAAGCATGTGTGTCTGCCAGGGTCCTACTCGAGAGTAGGACGAGCTTCTGACAATATGTACCTGAGGAAAAAACTTCACTACCACATTTGGAACTGAACTGGGCTCCTCACCCAACCCAGCTCACTCTGCAGTTGTCTGGGAGTATTCCTAGATTCCCGTTTGGCACTGGAGTCTGAAGCAGCTCCTGTGGCTAGGAGTGCAACAGCCTAAGGCAGTGTTTCGCAAACTTGGGTCTCTAGCTGTTGTTGGACTACAACTCCCATCATCCCTAGCTAGTAGGACCAGTGGTCAGGAATGGTGGGAGTTGGAGTCCCAACAACCTGGGGACCCAAATCTGAGAAACACTGGCCTAATGGAATCATGTGCCTCCTGTCTTGAAAGTACTGTACTGGACACCAGTGAGCTACCGGGCCCAATTCAATGTGTTAGTAATGTAAGATGTGCTCTGTACGTGAAGGCTGATGACCCTTATTTAGAACAAACTCAAACGCAGATTAGGCATGAGAAAAGCCCATCAGAAATCTAAGGCCTCGGTTGCCTCAAGGTCTAATCCCCAGATTCATGTGAACTGGAACATATCAAGCACTCCTTCAATGTTAAAAATATGGCCATCTTGGAACTTTCTACCACATGTGGTGGTTATGTGACTCTGCAACCGTTTTCTGGAAGACAATCTTTCATTACTGAAAGGGCCTCTTTGTACCCCACAATTAGCTCTGTTAATGATTTTTGATAGGGAGAACTTGCTGCAAACAGATAATGAATTAAAGAAGATGTTGAAATATACTTTTGTTAAAAAACCAGAAGTGTTTTTACTGGGAATACTGGGAGATGAAATTAGTAAAAAAGATGTGAAATTAGTTTTGTATGCAGTAACAGCAGGCAGAATCTTGTTGGCACAGAAATGGAAACAGGAAGACATGCCCACAAAAGAAGAATGGAGGATGAAAGTGATGGAATACACAGAAATGGACAAATTGACAGGGAGAATTAGGAACCAACGTGACCAGAGATTCTCCGAAGACTGGAAGAAATTTACAGAGTATATCAAAGATGTCTGCGATGAACAATTAATATTTGTTGCTTTTCAAGAAGCTCTGTGAAATTAATGTTAGAAATATTGTTTTAAAAAATAAGACATGACTAAGGGTGTTAGAGTGCAATATAATAGAGATAAATGTATGATGAAGATATGAATATGGAAAATTATCAGACAAGCTGAGGGAAGTTCTGGGAAGAAAGGGATTAAGTGAAAACTGGATGTTTAATGTTTTATAAATTGTTGTTAAAAAACGAATAAAAAAACAAAAAAAACCCAGATGATTTCATTAAGATTTAGTGCATATTTATTGCTCAAAGTGAAAAATAATAAGCAGATATACAACTGCTGGAAAGGCAAGATAATCTTTGACAAAATGTTCTTTAGTTAACTCTTGCAGTTTTGATATCAGTGTGTTGTGGGCAGCTAGAGACCTGGAGTGTTACTTTTGTTTCCATAATGACTGTTATGTCTTTACTTGTAATAATCACCAAAATATTTATTTGCTTGCAATGAAAAGAACACATTACAAATACAAAATCCTAAATGACTTGGGACTCAGGTATCTAAAAGAGCGCCTTTCCCTAAAATCAACCATCTAAAGTCCTATAGACAAGAGTCTCACAATTACGTACAAATTCACTACAGGGAACCCAGGCGCACAGTGAATAAGTAGATCTAGAAACAGTTGCCAGACAAATTTCAAACTCCTAAGCAACTTGCTGCTTGCAGTTTTTCCAGCTCTGGATGTCACCCTCTTCAACAAACCATTCTAAGAGAGTACCCACACGTATATTACATATGCGCCTAAGATAAATTTCAAGATATGCCCAAGCTATTGTTCTTCCCCCACCTTTAAATGGCAGCCCCTCATGCATGGCATCTCACAAACTGTTTTTGAAAAGCTCCATTTGTTTGGTAAGTGATTTCCCATGTGACAGTTTTAAAACTACATTTATATCCTGCCTTTCCTGCAGGGAAAGCATGCATACACAGTTCTTACCCTCTCCTCTTTGCAGGGTTGTAGTGTGAGATTGCAGCCTAATGGAGTTTTACTGTATTTATTTATTAAAGTTATCTATATACAGCCCCCCCTTTACCTGGGGGTTACATTACAGGCCCTCATGCACACAAGTGCATAAATTGGGAAGCACTCCTTAAAAAGTCTCCAAACACTCCTTTTTTCCTGCGCTCCAGCTCTCTCTTCAACTAGAGTCAAAGTTCTGGGGCTGGCTGGAGGATGAACAGGACAGTGGCTTCTGCTGAGCTAGCTACTGCATGCATCAGCTGCTAGGCGAGGAGGCTGAGCAGCCTAAACTAAGCCCTGCTGCTCCTCTGGTCTCTTTGGGACTTCCTCCACCCTCACCAACATCGACTTCGGGCTCCAGGAAGGGTCTCCTCACAAGTCACTGATTACTATCCAGCTCTCTTCCACCATTTCCTGGTGTGATTCTATTTATTCATTAATTTATTTTCTGGCGCCACATGTATATACAGTCACACATTAGTCAAATGCATGTAAGGGGGGGACAGGAATGCCTGCACAGCTAGTTATTAAAAAACCAGCCAACCCCAGAGTGGTTTACAACCATTGTACATAGAACCATACATTAATTATTTTTATTTTTAAAAATCAGCTAACTGTTATGGATGGATGTGTTCTTAATTGCTTGCACAAGCCAGAAGGAATGAAAAGTTTTCAGCAGCTTTTGAAAGTTGAAACAGAAGGCGCTGCTGTTACACTTTATGGGCAGTAATCCTATGTGTTCAAACCTGGGAGGTAAGCGCCAACAAACTGAATGGATACTATTTCCAAGTCAGACTAGGTCTGCTCTGTTTTCATGACTGCCAAATAGTACAATTTTATTTGCCAACTAAATTATATACATGCTGTTAAAGTGGTCAAATAGAGTTTAGGTTAGATACAGAAGCAACAGTTTTCCACAAAATGTTCATCTCCCTTAAAAAAAAAGTTGTTGTTTTTCCGCTGCTTCACAATTTCCAGAAATCATACATCTTTGGTGGCAATCCGAACCTGGGTCTGCCCAGTCCAGTTCTGACACTACATACCACAGCTACACAAAACCAGAGCTAGTTCTCCCAAGAAAGCAGATGGGTTGGTCTGAGCTGCACCATATCAGACTGCACGGGACACAGGGTGGGGACTCCTATGACTGAATGTTCCTCCATTTAAGAAAATTTGACAGCACACAATTCTCAGCACACAGAAAATCAGCAAATCCTTCTCCTGGACAAAGTTGTTTTGGGTCTCCTTGAAGGAAGCTGGAGTTTTGGAGGGATGAACATTCAGTCATGCAAGCCTCCTCCAACCACAAAATCTTTTGCCTAAGCCAACCAGGATTTTCTTATGTTCTTGTATGGCCCAGACCTAGGCTTACCATCTCATTTTCTGTTTTTAACAAGAGGGCCTTAATTGTGTGGATCCCACCACAGAACACCCCCACCCCGGAGCCCCCTTGCAGAGACAAACCCAAACTGCATGTCCCTTGGGGGCAATTTCTTCCACCACTTGCATTCTCCACTAATGGTTGGCAAACAGATTAAAATAGCCCTGTGTAAGTATCTGGGGCGCACCAGGCTGGCAAACAGTGTTGTAGCGCATCCCTCTGGGATTACTGGGACTATATTGGCATGGTGGAGTAATACCAGCTCTGTGTGAAGAGGGTCAGGAAGGCTGGCCCTATCTCAGAGAGATGCTCTCCAACCAAGCCAGCAGCCTAATATGTTTATTTTTCAGAGCATATTTTGCTTCCACAAGTAGTCTGAGCTTGAACTCTCCCCATGCATAGAAAGATTCCAGCAGCACCAAGCGAATAGAGGGGGAAAGTCTGAGTTTCAAGGCTAACAGTTGCATGTTTAGTCTAACTCAATCGGCTCATTCACAGCTTACAATGAACACAGGTACAAGTTGGCTCTATGCATGAAGAAGAAGAAGAAGAAGAAGAAGAAGAAGAAGAAGAAGAGGAGGAGGAGGAGGAGGAGGAGGAGGAGGAGTTTGGATTTGATATCCAGCTTCATCACTATCCTAAGGAGTCTCAAAGCAGCTAACATTCTCCTTTCCCTTCCTCCCCCACAACAAACACTCTGTGAGGTGAGTGAGGCTGAGACACTTCAGAAAACAAGTGTTGGTGTGTGAATGCACACACTTGTTGATTTGCACAGTTTAACTATTGTGCACACCTGTGAATGCCCCTAAGATTATGGTGACAGCTACTAACTTTATAGGAATGCCTTTTTGAGGAGTGATAGAGTGTAGCAAGCCAAAGCCCTCTCTACTTGACTCAAACAGACTGCCAAAAAGACCCTTTGCTACAATAACAACAAGCCCCTTCCAAAACTCTGGAAGTCAACAGGCACTTCCAAGGAACATCCAAACAGCTAATCCTAAATACAAAAATGTCTGCTCCAAGTAGGTGGGAATGGCCCATTTCAGCTTTCCCTTCAGTTTTAAGTCATACAGTGGCATCTTGGGTTATTTTTTTTTTTTTAAAGTTTTATGCTGCTTAGGGCAGGCGAAAGGTCTGATATTTGCCTAATCTGTACTGGTCACACTACAGAAGCACAAATATCCTGTTGTCTTTGGGGCACTAATCATGCAGTCAGGCCAAGGAAGAGACATTTAACACCCACTCTTCAAGTCAAAACCAACTGGTGAAAAACAAAAACAAAGCACAGGCACACATTACACACCACACACAGAGAGAATCTGAATATGTAGAACAGTGTTTCTGAGGTTCATGTGTGGCTCATATTGACCAATGCTTGTGAGAAATTCTATTCTTACACTGAAAAGGTAGGATGATAGCCTGGGTAAGCCTCATTCTGGGAAATCAGCATTAAAAAGAGGCACACACTCAGGAATGTCAACTTTGAACCCATCCCAAACCCCCCAAAATACACAGGGACCTTTGTGAAAATTTCTCCTCCATCCTCTTGTAAATAAACATACCAAAATAATATATTTATCTGTATAAATACGATCTTGAAGATGCAGGTGAAAAGGAGAAAGCATTTAAAAGCAGTTGATTCTATTTTATAAGGAAAAAATGTCATTCTCTCCCCCCCAACTGAGCAATAACAATAATCATCAGTTCAAAAGAAATTAAGAGGTTAAACACAGACCAAGGAGATTTAAGAGCTGCAGTGCCACATAAAAATTAAAATACAGATCCAACAGCCCACAACACTGTAGAAATAGCCACATACACAGAAAAATCACTTTTCTGTATAAAGGAGGTGGTTTAAATTGGAGATTGGTGAAAAAATAAACTCAAGTCAAGTTTGTGTCTCGACACCTGATTTCCTGTCCAAAGACCCCTTTTGTTCTGCTTCCCTGCATAAATTTTAATATCCTGCCAGCACCACAAACGAACAATGGCAAAATCAGCCGAAAGCACGCTGACCAAACAGTCTCGGAGTCAAAGTGGAAAAAACACAGACACTCTCAGAGCAACAAAAGAAGACCTACCAACAAGATCTGCACAATTTTCTGTTTGCTTCACCCCAGATTAACTTCACTTGAAGCTGTGCTCCAGTGCAACCTACCCTGAACATTACGCCCCACCTTCTCCAAATGTGACTGGCTGAACTGGGGAAACTCCACCCTGTTTGTGAAGCTTATAATCCTAATTGGTAAAAGCTAATATCCATTATTTAAAGAACTTTTTCCTTGCTAGCAGGGTAGGTTAAGCAGGTTAAGACACCCTGAGCAAGCTGGTTTCTTAAAGGAACAATGCGCAGATTTCGTAGAGAGGCAAAGGGCAGCTTTCAATGAAACTGGGTGCCAAAACAGCACAGACACACAGATCAGGCAGCCTTTGCAGGAAAACTACGCAAATGAAACCGCGATCATCACTGGGGAACCTGAACATAGTAATTACACACTTACTCAAGAAGCACAACACTTAAGCAAGGAACGTGAAGAAGCCTTACAAAACAGTGGTGTGAAAAATGAGGTCAGTCTATTATTAGAGAAAGAGAGAGAGGTTATGTGAAACTTTGCCAAGTGAAAAAGCACCGTAAGTGCATCTGTTCCTGCTTATTTTAAGTTACAGGGTCAATTTTGTTTTATTCGCTTAAAGCATTTTTGCCCAGCTCTTCAGCAGAAAAGATCAATAAAAGACAGGACATTCCCTGTGCCAAGGATTCAAATCTAAAAGGGGAAAAAGACATGTCACAAAAGGAAAAATGGGGTGGGGAGGAAAGAGGAAAACAAGCAAGCTCAAGCACCAGTTGTGATATCATTGGACTTCCTCTAAGCTGTCTTCAGCGGTTGGTATGCCATGTTCAGCTAGATGGGGAGGGGAGGGAGGGAGGGAGAGAGACACTGTGGCCTTTGTGACTTCCAGAGGCTGAAGTGACAGCAAACCCTTTCACCATGCTGGCTGTGGCTGATGAGAGTTGGAGCCCTGAACATCTGGAGGGCATCACATTGGCTGCCCTGCCAAGTCGTACGTATCAGAGTCAGATACCCACAGTTGCCTGTCCCAACTCAATGCAGTCCAGAGTGCAAATCCTGATTAACAGGCAGCATGGTACAGTGGTTAGAGTGTTTTGTCTCAGGGCTGGGGAGACCCCTGTTAAAATCCTAGCCATAAAAACTCACTGGGTGACCTGCGAGCAGTCTCTCTCTCAGCCTAGCCTACCTTATAGAGCTGTTGTGAGGATCACAATGGGGGAACCATGCAAGGCACCTTGAGCTCCTTGGAGAAAGGTGGAATATAAATAAAGAAAAAGCAGCAGTAGCCCCCATGGTGCACTTCAGCTGTCTTGATTCATAGCAGTGAGTGACATAAGACTCTTTATTCCTCCTTTCTCCAATGTGCTAGGGCCTCTGCTGTTCTTCAGAATCCTCCCCTTATTAACTGCAGCTGCTCAATTCCATTTGCCTTGGCTCATGGATGAGATGAGGCAGCTGAGGTACATTACAAGGAACCCCCCTGCGTAGTTTTTACAGCTGTACACAGTAGGGGAGGGGGGCCTTTTTCAGTCCTAGGGATGCCTCCCCTTCTGGGCAACCTCCCAGGGACCACATGCCCGTGCTGGGTAAACCAGGGGTAAAAGTAAGAACAGCAATGGATGTAACCTTTACCTTTGTACAGTAGGCTCGTTTCTGCACACATATACCTCTCTGTAGCAGGGGCAAATGGGGCTCGTCGACCTGGGAAGGAAGCCCACCTAGGACAAGGAAAACTCTAAACCTCTGCTATCTGGTGGGATGTTTTCAGGAGAAGAAAAGGCTAAGGAGTAAACCTTACACAAATCTAGAGTGGAGCCCCTAAGACAGTTGGATGGTGCCTTGTGCGCCTCCTTCTGTGCAACTCCTGCAGCCAAGCTGGTGCTAAATGTCTTGTAATGCTTTCCTTTGGACCACATCAGTGAGGCCAAGAGGGGGGGGGTCTTGTTGTCTGGGCAGCCCAGGACCTCCAAACACACTGCCCAGGCTTATGCCCTGGGGAGGTCGCTTTGATGCTGTTAACACTTCACCCCTGGAGATGTACTCCATTGTCATGACAGACAGATGGATGCCATCAAAATACTTCTCTCTCCTCTTTGAAAGCCCAGTGGCCTATTCCAACCCAAATTAAGTAAATGATAACCTGGGCATAGCGCAGGGCTAACTTCGACTTATAAGCACCTTAAACTGGTGCTCTGTATAAAAAGAACTGCAGAAATGCATGCTGTGTTTCATATACTGCCAATTTAAAGCTTGTTTATTTTGAAGTGACTGGTCGTCTGGGTAACTTGATGGGAAGTATAGAAATGCTTCAAATAAATCAATATAATAAAATGCAAAGTGGGCTCCTTTGGAAGGAAGGGCAGGATATACATTTATACTCCAAAATGAGATTGGCTCCGTGAAGTCCTTTCCTGAAGACATGGCACTAGAAATGTAGCTGCCTCATCCCTGCAAACGAACTGCAACATATGGACGCACAACTGGCATAAAGCACAGGGTCAAGAGGATTGTGGAGGGGGGGGGAGAGGAAGCTATCCAATCATGCTGTAATTTTAGGCTATTGCAAAGATTAACTGGTCTTGTGGTGCAATCTGAAGATAGAGAGGGCCCTGAATTAGGGAGGTGGGAATTAGATTCCAAGCCAGTTTACAGCTGCTCCCTATCATTATAATGATCAGATGAAGTATACACACGAGGACCACACAATGCACAGACTGGATTTCTATTTTTTATTGGCTATCTGGTCTTCTGCCCAGTCTCAGAGACCAGCAAGAACATAAAAGTCATTTTATCTCAACTCACAAAGCAAAAAAAACAAAAAAACAAAAACACTTCAGCCCTGAATTATCCTTGTGGGGCCCATAGCTCAATGAGGCTCTATAGCACATGTTTTACATATTAAAAGAGGGTCCCAAATTCAATTTTCAGGTAAGGATGGGAACACCCGTGTCGGAAATCCTGGAGACCCATTGCCAGACCACGTAGATCTGGGGTTCCCAACTGTGCTCCACACCAGTGGCCCATGAAGTTTACTCAGGTGGTCTGTGGCATTTCTGTGGCTGAAAATGAGAGGAAGCACCTCCATCCCATTAAATAATCATATTTATTTTTAACTGCATTCTGTTGCTTCTTTTATTTTGTAAACGTTATTTCGTGGTATCACCATTTGAACACAATGCAGTATATAAGAAAGAAAAACTGCAATTAAAATGCAATTAAAAAGCATACAGCACCTAGCACCGTGTACTGCATTACTATTGCTAAAACAAGCAGAAAAATCATTATGCGGTCTGCCAAGACCCTCAGCAATTTTCAAGTGGTCCATGGGAAAAAATGGTTTGGGAACTGCGAATGCAGACAATGCTGAAACAGAACGACCAACCATCTGACTCAGCATAGAGCAGCTTCCTCAACGTCTTAGGATTTTAGGCAAAGTTTGTGTGGCGTTAAGCTCATAGCCTCTCAAAAGCTTTCAGGAATTCTTATACAACCACTAAGTGAAACTAAAATGCACAAACGAAATGAAGTGAGCGGTGAGCCTGCAACCCCATGATCTGTGGAAAGCGCTTTGGGAAAACCAAAAGAGAAAAATAAATCTATTCTCTGCTACTGCTGCTGACATTGCCAGTCAAAGAAGAGGGGGAAAGTGTAGCTCTGCTCTCTCATTTGACAACTGTGTGGAAGCCAAAACTTTCCCGAAGCAGGAACAAATATGCCTTTCTGGGGGCACCTAAGGCAAGGCTGAACAAAGTTGGCAGCGCATGCTCTCATCTTCAGCCCGTAATTTAGCAGCAGAGGGAGAGCGCCTGACCACAGGGTCCTGTGGCAAGGTCCACAGATGCCTTGGACATGGAAGGAAAGCAGCTGTGTGTGGCGAGGTGGGGAGCGGGGAGAATCATGAGCTGTGCAGGGTGCCAGACTGAGTCTTCAGATGTAGGTCCCTTCTATTTTAAGTAATCAACAACCAAAGTGCACAACAAGACAAGCTTCAGACTAGGCAGCAGATCCTCACACAAACATGAACAATAGTGGCCGGTGGGGTGGGGGTAGGAATCCCAGCAAGCTGCTCCATTACTTCTGAGCTCTGAAATTAACCCAACAGGCACAAAGTTTCTTGGCACACTGCACTGTGGCCCAGCCAAGCCAAAACAGAAACTGGGCTTGAGGGTGATGGCAGAGAATGGTTGGCCTCTCCCTTGGCAACCCCAGGTGCCCTACCTAGCAAGTTTTGCTTCATATTTCAGAATCCCACATGCACAGTGAACCTGCATCAGAATAACCAGAAATGACAAATCCATGAAGGGAGCTTTACACTGTTTTTGCCACCCTAGGAATTAATGATAACAAGAGCAGGATAAAAATATTTATATGCATAAGCCAGGAGGACACATTATTTATAACCAAGCTCAGATAAATGACATTATCAATCCGTAGCCTTAAGTGAGGGGAGAGGGGAGACCTGCGACTCTCAGCTATTGTTGGGACTCCCACTCCCATCAGCCTTAGGAAGCATGGCCAATGGGTAGAGATGGTGGGAGCAACAAAAATGTCACATCCCATACCCACACCTTAACAGCTGCATATAGGCTAGGACTGGCTATACGGGATGCAGAAAAATCCAGCTGCAGTTCAGATCTTATTCTGATCCACAGAATTGCACTGTCCTGTTGGCCGAGCTGGATTTCTACAGGTACGTTCAAACTTGATCCTCATCTTCATCTTCTGTGCTGATGAAGTTTCTACCTTAATAGGATTAAGGTTTCGCATTCCAGAGGTTAAGACACTCTTTCAGATAACCCACATCCTATCCATTCTTCAGAATAGGGACTGAATTATTCCAACAGGTCAAAGACCCAACAAATGAAGTATCAGATGAGATGGCATTTGTTTATCACTATTAGAAGTCACAAGTCTGAAGAATTTGGATCACTACTATTCCAGCCAAGCTGGTTCAAAAAAAATTGTTCTGCTTTCCTTTGGATCACATCAGCGAGGCTAAAAGAGAGGTCTTGTTGTCTGGGCAGCCCAGGACTTCCATATATGATGCCCACACTTCCAGGGAGGTCACTTCCATGCTGCTAACACAGCGGCTTGGTTTGGCTTGGCTTGGTTTGACTTCACACACACACACACCCACACACACACACCCACACACACACACACCATTGTCTCTTGAGACATAAGGATGCCAAGGACTTTTCCTGAGGCTCACAAGCCAAATACAACAATGGCAGATCTAAATATTACCTCCACATTTTCATCTCTTAAGGTGCCTTCAATTACATCTTTAACCAACATTTCCTTATGCATTAAGAGTTTCCCTGAACCAGGAAGTTACAAAAGGGGCTGTTCATCAATACCTTTCACATGCAATATTTGAAGAATTCAAAACATTTTGGATGACCCTTGACCCTTGTGATCTTTGACAGGTGACATAATATACCCTGTTGTACACCAGGCATATAAATCAGTGTTCAAGGTTCAAGGAGAGGTACAGGTCTCTGACCACTACAATGAAAAGAGAAGTTTTGGAGATCTATGTCTCCACTTTGGCATGGAATATAGAGTCCAATTTTTAAGCAGCATTTTCTAGATGTCTAGAGCTAGACACCTGCCAAGGGATTCAAAAGCAATGCATTTACGTTTGTTGAATATACCATTAGGAAAAGACTTTAAGAAACAAACTGGAGGGTATATGGGGCACGTAACAACACTAGAAGTGACAAGAAAATGCATGACTGCACTTCTGATTTGTCTGGGTTTTTTGTACCACGGTGTGGAGGGAGGAGTTTAAGCTTCCCTTCCTGCCACTTTCTTGATAAAAGATCCCCGACTCTCAACAAAAAAAAAAAGCTACTATGTGTTTGGACCAAGTGCCCTACAGCTACTATTTTTAAGAGGCAGGAATACAATCACAAATCTCTTGTGTTGACTACCTGGGGTCTAGGTTTGATAGCTTGAGTCAAGGAGGCCTGCAGCTTGAGAGACTGCCCTTTTCCAGCAGGTCACTGTGCTCTGCAAGAGTATTTCTTCTTAAAGTCCCTCAAATATCAGAAGTCTGCTCCACCACTGTAATTCAGAGCAGGGCTTTCAGTGTGGCTGCTCCTGTTTTGTGGAATAACATCCAGAATGAGATAAGACAAGTGCCCACTAGCTGTACTTTACAGAAACAAAGGAAGGCATTTTTGTATCAACAAGCTGGGTGTGTATCTTCACTTTGGGCTTCTTAAACTTGCATTTAGTTGGGGTTTCGTTGGTAACTGAAAAAACCCCCCTGTATTTATTAAATACAAATGTAAAAAGCAATTAATAGATTAATAAAAAATAAAAAGCAAAAAATCATAGATGCTTCATTCTCTGACCTAAATTCAATGGAACAGAAACAATAAAATAACTTTTAAAAAGGTATTCATATCTATCATTATCAGATAACTTAGGAGTTTCATTCCACATTGGGAAAACCCAGCCAGATGGGTGGGGTATAAATAATAAATTTATTATTATTATTATTATTATTATTATTATTATTATTATTATTATTAAACACTGCCCTGTAATTAAGCTTTTTCTTAATAAAAAATACTTTGCCTCCAACAGTTTTAACTGTTGCTTAATCAACTGGGCAATTGCTTTAGCAGCCAGAGAAATTAAGAATTCTTCAGTTCTTTGGTTTAAATCCATAATACTACTGTCCTGCTGATAACTAGCCATACCCTCTTTCGAATCTCTTTAAGTGGAATAATGTGTTTTAAAAACAGCTAAGCCCCACCTGCACTATACATTCAAAGCAGTATCATATCACTTTAAACAGTCATGGTTTCTTCCACAGAAACCTAGTTTACGGGTGCTGAGAGTTGATAGGAGACCCCTCCTCCACTATTCCTTTAAAGTAACACTGCCCAAAATTCCCTGTGAAGATGGAATGAATGCTAAACTAATCAGGGAACTGTAGCTCTGTAAGGGAAATAGGGCCCTCCTAACAACTCTCAGCACACATAATGAGCTACAGTTCCCAGCATTCTTTAGGGGAAGTCGTGGCCATTTAAAGCACTATGATACAGCTTTCTATGTATAGTGCAGATGGGGCCCAAGATTTCATTTAAGGTACATTTCAAACGGGATGACTTTTTCAGTTATCAATATGAATGGATATGATGCAACATATAATCCACCTTGTTCGCGGACAATTCTGTGAGCAAGATCTAATACAGCGCTGAGGGACCTCAGATTCCAGCCTCTCAATCTAGCCCCCAGGACACTCTTTGGGCCATGCCCCTGATGGACTGGATCTGCTCAACTGCTTTTGTCTGGCGGGCTGTGTCCTCGGACTGTGAGAACTAACCTTCTTGTTTGGATGGGCTGTGAAGATAAGTGGGTACATACATAAACCTCTGACTTCTGCGCAGATGGAATATAGCCTACTGCACAAGGGTAATGGTCACACCCATTGTGGAGTAATGGTCCGAGCATTGGACTACGAACTGGGAGACCAGGGTTCAAATCCCCATTCAGCCACAAACCTCGCTGGGCAACCTTGTGCTAGTCACCATCTCTCAGCCTAACCTACCTCACAGGGTTGTAGTGAGGAAAACATGGGAAAGGGAGGAACTGTAGGCACCACCTTGAGCTCCTTGGAGGAGGCAAAGTGGGGTGTAAATGTAATAATAAAATAATAATAATTCATTGCTCCAACCACTTTTGTCCCTGACCTGCTCAGCATTCGGTATGCAGCTCCCAGAATGTTGATCATGAGGGAATGCCACCCTCAGGCTGAAAAACATTCCCCACCCCTGATCTAATAACACCATCCAGGTCAAGGCACCATCCAAGTAAAAACAGCTTCTAACAACATGCTTTCACCACCACCCTGGCCCCTTTTCATACAAGAAGTCACTCAATTAAAGGGGGCGGGGGCGGGGAAGAGACCCAAAAGTTATACTGTACTGCAAGTGGCCTTAATACAAAGTGTTGTCTATTTTCAAAGACATAGCACTTGACGTTTTGTGGCAACTTGCATACTAAAAATTTTAGGAAGACGTAATGAAAGGAATTAGTGAAGATGTTAAGGTTGAAATTCACGTCTGTGGGATCTGCGAAAGATTTGTTTCTACTGCAATCAAATGGTGAAGCAAACAGTTGAGAAATAATAGTTCTTTGGAAGGAAAGGAGGGAGTAGCAACAGAGGACCGAGAGAACATCTTTTGGACAGAGATAAGCCACTGAGTTGAGGCAGCAAGAAACCCAAATCACTTATTCTAGAAAAACTTCTGACACTACAGTCTCGGGAGCATGGCTGAACGACATATCAAAATATTTATCAGAAATAAAGTAAAGCTGTAAATGTAAATAAACCAGGTATTTTGTAAAGTGTCAAAATTCTCCATTTTTGTTTCAAGGCTGCTACCCTAAGCAAAACTTTCAAGGGGATAAGCACCAAGCTCTCTAGACTTAGAACTTTTGCATTTAACAAAATTTATACATTTACTCAAAAAGAAAGTCTCTAAATGGTTTACAAAGGGCAATCTAAAATATTCCTTAAAACACCAATGAAAGCAAACATTAGAAACAAATTGACACGAAATTGTATCAAAAACTAAACAAAACCAGCAATTTACAAACTATTATAAGGGGGGCGGGAATACATGCCAGTGCAGGCTTGTTGAAACATATCTTTTTAGCAGGTGCCAAACACAATACAGCAAAATTGCCTGCCTGATATCAATAGGTAGGGAGTTCCAGGGGCTGCCATAATGAATGATCAATTCCTTGCAAGTGAGGGATGAACATTACATGAGATATGTACAAACAAAGCATTCTTAACAGTCACTATGAGGCAGAAAGATATTCCCCCACCTTTATGGCTGATATTTTGTATCCTAGAAGCATTTTTACATTTCTGGGTGTCTCCACAACCGAAAAACATTGTCAAACGAGAGAAAATTCAAAGAGCAGCAATAAAAGCCATCAATGAGTTGAAAGCCAAAAGACAGTGAGGAATAAATTATAAGGCCTAAAAATAAAGCACATTTTTTAAAAGTACCTAAGGTTCAATAAGCATCTACAGTTCAAGAAAGGAACGAAGTTATTTAAATGCAGTTTCTTATAGGGATTACACAAGGAGTTTTACTGTTCTGCTTAAGGCTTCCGAGTAAAAGTTACGAAGTCTGATTATGTACCAGCCTTAAACCACAGGAGTCACCTACTAACATTAAATGGGAGTCAGCAACGGCACAGTACCACAATGATTCTTTACAGGAAGCAAATCACCCTCGGCTCTGGGTGTCTTCTCTGCTCTCATACCTCGTGGGCAAGGTTGCAGACAGAAACAAGTCCAGGCACAGATTTATTTATTTTTTTAAAAAGCTGTGCATGGCACACTTGTAAACTTTGGATACGGTTGCCAGCCACCCGTTCTTTTCTCAACGAAACAATAAACAGCACACGGTACGCACGTGTCAGAAGATCATTAAGAACAGCTAAAAGGTTCTCCAGGTCCAAATTCAAGGCACAAATCTATGGCACACGTTCACAAGCAGCACTCAAAACAAGAGTGAAAAAACACACAAACCCAATTATGACTGAGTTCTTGTGAAGGTGGAAACGAGGTCAACATCAGGCTTGCGATTGTAGGTGCCCACAACCCTGCAAGGGGCCCAGTCCTAGCCCCCCAGGCAAACCATGAACCCTAACCATGAACTCTGGAAGAGGGAAATCATGGTTTCGGAGGTACTATGCCAAACCATGGCTTAGCTCCCAGCAGTACAGCATCAGCAGGACCAAAAGAGATCCAGCTAAGCAGACATAGTATCCTCTTTGGGAGCTCACACACTCATGCTAAGCCATAGGGTAGCTTAGTGCAATGTGCACACCAACCAATGTGAAAAAAAGTGAGCAGTGTACTCTTTTGCCCTCCTGGGCAGAAACAGCTGGCTGGAGGCACAATTCTCCATCCACTCTAACCCCAATGCAGTACAAAAGACTAATACTATACAAGTCACTATTTTTCCTCTCAGCCTGAAGGCAAAGCAGAAGGAACAGGATAAGCATGCATCCCACAACAAAAGTGGTAGTGCTAACAGTGCAAAAATGGCAAAAATGAAGAACTTTACTGCTTGAAATAAACTGCAGCTGTCTGGAAAAGTAGACACAAATGTGTTCTCATTGGATAGACTTTGCAAGGGGGGGGGTGTCAATTCATTGCCATATTTAGGTCTAAGACAACAGGGAACAGTAACCTGGAGAAATTCACTTTAAAAAAATGTCCCAGTCGACAGCTCCCGGCAAGTTAAATCACTTTTGACCTTCTTCTGCCCAAGAGCTTGTATTCTGATCTTTCCTGTAATAGGCTAAACATTAATAAAATTAAATCACATTGTCCAGCATTGCCATGAGTTTAATCACCACCTGGACAAAAAAGGGAATTTGTAGCCAAAGACAAAGCTCCCAGTTCTAACAAGATTAAACATATAATGCAAAACATGATACACCTCATGAAAGGCATTAAGGAAGGCTATACAATTCAAAGCAGACTTACCTAGAATCTAATTCTCTTGAGATCAAATGTGCAGGTTAACAGAAGAAAAATCAGCCCAGAAGTAAATACAATGAACAGTGACCGCAAACAAACCCTACAGGTGGTCTCTTTGACAAATGTCTGTGTGCCCCCCAGGCCAGCTCAGAGCCCCACAGCTCTAACCAAAGCACCCCAAACCACAGGCACTTCTAACTGGTCTATTTATTTCCTGGATATCCCGTCACCTGATTGACTCATACTCCACAGGGCAAGGCAGCTGGGGACAAAAACAACAGCTGCTTGAGGTTAAACTCACATCCCTCAGCATGTTTACATGTTGGGGGCAGTGAGGCTGCACATCAGCCCACATCACCTCCCCTCTTCCCAAATCACATACCAACTCTTCCCCATTGGGGAATGCCCCTGCCTTCCAGAACCTGCTGGAGGCAGGAGCTGCTATTTCCTGTTTCTCCTAAAACTCTACCAAGCCTCCCACATCCCATGATAAGGTCTCTGTATTCCTTTGCTACTTCCTTCCAGGGCTCTAATAGGTCCCTTGGTGTGCTGATAACCACCACTGCCACACACACACACAACACAACACACACACAAAAATACTTGTCCTCCCATGAATCTAGTCCACCCGTTTTGTAAGATTCCTCTTTACATCCAGTAGGCAGGCCTAAGAAAGGACAATTTGTCCCCAACCCATTTCCAAGAAGATACCAATTACCTAGCACCCTTTCTTCCAACAGTTTTTGTTTGTTTCTGCCTGTCCCAAATGTCGAGCAGAACTCTCTGCCTGCTCAGAAGCTACTGAAGAGTGTAACATCACATCACATTTCATTCCCCATCCTAATGTCTTCTTCCTCAGTTCCTTGGGGCAGGCATGGTGAACCTTCCGCCCTCCAGATGCTGCTTAACTACAATTCCCATCATCCCTGGCCATTGGTCTTGCTAGCAGGGACTGATGGGAATTGTAGTTCAGCAACATCTGGAGGGCCAAAATGCCAAAGGTTCCCCATAGTGGTTTTAGGATGACTGAAGGCCCCATGATGGAACAAGTGTCAGAGAACTTCAAGGAGTGAATGTATCCTATATAGTACATGGATGGGGAACCTGTGGTTCTTGAGATGTTGCTGCACAATTCCCATTAGCCCTGGTCATTGATCATGCTGGCTGGGGCTGATGGGAGTTGTAGTTCAACAGCATAAGGAAGACCACAGGCTATAGAGCAGGCTTCCTCAACCTCGGCCCTCCAGATGTTTTGAGACTACAATTCCCAGCATCCCTGACCACTGGTCCTGCTAGCTAGGGATCATGGGAGTTGTAGGCCAAAAACATCTGGAGGGCCAAGGTTGAGGAAGCCTGCTATAGAAGAACCTTGTTCTATTTCCTTAAGGTTTGCATAAGGACTGAACTCGGAATCTAATTCCCGCACTTGAAGCTCACTGACAGACGTTGAAGCAGTCATTCTCTCTGACAGCCTAAATGCCCTCACAGGGCTGTTGTGAAGCTTTTGTTTTTTTGTAAAACACTCCAGCAGCTGAGATCTCTGAACACAGGCACAAATAATAAACAGGGAATTACCCTCCCTGATACAATGAGGATTCCATTTTCTTCCTTACTAGATATTTAATATAACCTAGAAGGCAAAGGAAGATGTTTCTTCATGCCCGTGCTGCTGTTTCTCTTAATCTATCACAGGGGTACAAGCTTCTGAAAATGAGGAAGGGGTAAACATTCCCCTACATATAGGTTAAGTTGACTTTAGCTTTTCATAGAATACTTTTTTTTTTAACTAGAAACCCTACCTTTCCATGATGTGTTCTAAGTTGAATACGAGTGCACTTTCAGGATCTTTGAAGGGTTAAGGTACAACTAACCAGTTGTCCCAAGTCTGCACTCTCCATTTTAAGAGGCTAGAAAGAGTTTTGCCAGATGATATCAAGGCCCATCTAGCCTGGACTCCTTAGTAAGGAACTGCAGCAACTAACAGGCAAGTTAAAATAACATATAAGGGGCCCACCAGAAATTGTCCTGTGGTCTTTCTGATAACCACCCTTGCCTTTAAGCGGAGGTTTCCCAGTGAACCCCCTGCCTCTCAATTACCACATGAGTGTGTGAATTGGGGTCAATCCCTATTTGAGAGAGAGAGAGAGAGAAGGTTCTTGGTCTTCCCTTTTCCTCTTACCCAGCCAAAAACCTTTCAGTTTTTAAGTGGCAGCTGTCCATATAACCCCTAACCCTTCCTTCAGCTTTGGGGGGGGGGTGTCAAAGAAGAAAAAGAAGGCACCCCTAAGATCTTTCCCCTCTCCCAATACCCCTTCCCTCTTATCTTCCCTGAAGTCTACCACTTGGAGACTTTACCCTGGGGGGGGGGGTAAGAAGAGGAAGCATTCCCCAACCCCCCCTCTTCCTCCAGTGTAAAGTGCTCTGAAGGGAACTAAAAGTATTTAAGCAAAAGCTTCCCTTGTCATTCTTTCACCCTCCTTTCCTGTGTGTGAAGGGGACAAATAAACAAGCAATTTTAAAGCCCTGTGCCCTCCATAGGTCAAAGTCCTCTGAATGGGGTTAACCCCCCCCCACAACATTTCACCTTCCCCACATATTCCTCTAACCCTCCTTCTGGGGGACGTAAAGCGAAGAGGGGCTGCCTAAGACCCCTATCCCCCCCAAAAAAGTAAGGTCCCCTGGTGGGGGGAAGGAACACGTACACCCCCTCCCTAGAGCCTGTTACATCCCCATAGAATTCCCCTTTCCTTCCTTCAAGCTGGGCCCAAAGAGCCTTTATCTTTGTGGGGGGGGGGGAGAGCTCGCCCCAACTCTTTCCTAATGTGGGGCTTTGGCAAAAAGAGGGGGGTCTCCCATATCATTTCTCCCCCTTTTCCTCGCCCCTCTCCCAGGTTATGTAAGTGGGGAACGGGGTGGGGGGGGGGAGAGGCAGTGAGAAGAGTAATGTGAAGAGACCCCCCTCCCTCCCCTACACGACCCTAACTAAGCCTCCTCGGGAGTAAGCCCCACTGAATTCGCCCCCAGGGAAAGTGGGGCAGCTTAAGTAAATATGTGGGGGGGGGTAATTTGGGGTGGGAATGGGGGGCAGAGAGAAGAGCCCCACCCCATGTATGTGGGGTAGGGAGGAGAGAGAGAAAAAGGGGGGGACCCACTCTTTCCCCCGACCCGCCCCCCACACGGAGGGGGGGAGTGAGGAGAAAAGACAGCCACTAGCCCACGGGCCCGCGCACGCGCACGCGCTCTCGCTCTCTCACCTGACTCCGCGGGAGGGGAGGGGGGCTCGCGAGGGTCCTCGCGCCGCAGAGTTCCAGCCGCCGCTTGGCTCCTCCGAGTCTTCAATAAACTTTTTTTTTTCCCTCTCCCCCTTTTCCTCCTTTCCCTTCCTCTCCTCCCCGGCCCCGCCCTGTCCGACAGAAACCGACGCGGGCGGGCGCTGATTGGCGGAAGCCGGGCGGGCGGGCGGAAAGGAAAAGGAGGGGGCGGGGACGAGGTAAAGAAAACCCAGGAGGGAGGGAGGGAGGGGGAAAGGCGGCGCTGTCGCTGCTTTCTGACACGGCTGCTGCCCCCGCCTCCTCTTCCCTTCCTAGTGACTGGCAGCGACTGCCGGGGACGGCGCGCGACGCGAACCAAACTAATAAGAGCGAGTGGGGCGGGCGGAATGGGAAGAAGGGATGGCTTAGAAGCCAGCTTTAATGCCCCCCAGATGCTCGTTGGACTACAACTCCCATCAGCCCCGAGTAGCGGCCGCGCTGGCGGGAGGCTGATGGGACTTGGAGTCCAACCCTTGATTGAAGCAGCGCTTTCTGGGATTTTTGTTTTTTTAAGGGACTTAAATGTTTCTTGAAAGCAAGCGAGCCGCAAGCAACTAAGCTCTGGACCATAGCTGTCAACGTTTCCCTTTTTTAAAGGGAAATTCCCTTATTCCGAATAGGATTCCTCGCAAGAAAAGGGAAAAGTTGACAGCTATGCTCTGGACAGATAAGGGAACGGCTGTCGTTCAGTGGCAGGGCTTCCCGAGAAGGTCCCCGATTCAAATCCCGACATCTCCCGGTTAAGCGGGGGCTGCACTCTTGCCTGGAACCGAAGCTAAAAGTCACGGCTTCCTGCCAATAATCCTGGGGAACAGTAGTTTAGTAGAGGGTGCTGGGAATTGTAGTTCCGCGACAAACTACAGTTCCCAGGCTTCTTTTTTTTTGGGGGGGTGACATGATCGTTGATGTGTTATCAAAATGCTTTGATGTATGGTGTGGAGGTTACTTTTATGCTGTTCCTGATATCTTTTTTTATACCAAAGATTGATCCTGGCTGACTATGCAAAATAATAATGGGGGGAAATTATCTCTGAGTATGTAAAAAATATATTTTCCCCATCCCCACCCCCTTGAGACGCTACAGCCTACCCTTACTAGAAGTGCCAATAGTCTTCCTCTGTGCCTGCATTGCTTTCCTGTGTATTTATCACCTGCGTGTTAGTCTGGCCCCTATTTAATAGGTGGGATTTTTCCTGCCATTTAATCTCCATTCTGGAGAAGGGTGAGGTCTCATTGACACCTGTTGGGCAAAAGCTTCTTGCACTGCGGCAGGTTGGACTAGATGACCCTAATGGTCCCATCCAACTCTACAATTCATACGTTTACAGCACATTTATACCACTTTAACAGTCATGGCTCCCTCTTCCCCCACCAAAAAAGCCTAGGAACTGTAGTTTGTTAAGGGCATTGATAGTTGTTAAAAGACCCACTATTCCCCACACAGAGCTACAATTTCCAGAGTGGTTTAACAACCAATTCGTCATAGAGAAGTCTGATTCCAAACTTGGGGAAGAAATATATTCAATAAACAAAGCAAGCTCTATAAGGGAAATTGGAGTCTCCTACTCCAGCCTTTCTCAACCTATGGGTCCCCGGATGTTGTTGAACTACAACTCCCATCACCCCTAACTAGCAAGGCCAGAGCTCAGGGGTGATGGAAGTTGTAGTCCAACAACATCTGGGGACCCACAGGTTGAGAACCGCTCTAACCCATCACGTCCACATTCAAAAGCATACAGCTTTAAAGCACATGAAATGAAATGTCATTTAAGGGTGCTCAGGAGGATTGTGAGTGGTAAACTACAGTTCCCAGTATAAATGTACTTTAAATACATTGTATTGTATGGAGCTTTTAAAGGGTGGGTGGGTGTGTTGCTCTTCTAACTCAAATCTATATTCACACAGATTTCAGAGCGGGACAAGGTGGTAGCATACTTAAGAAAAGCTCATGCCATTCATTTTTCCGGTGCCACAAGATTCAGTGGGGGTTTTTTTTAGACACTAAGCATGAGAAAATAAGGCTGCCGCATGACGAAAGAAACATTAGTCATTCATCAGATGATTTTTAATTGATTCATCGATGAATTAATTGGTTTAAATGGCAAGCCTTCACAAAGGAATAAAAACAATCATTCTGAAGTGGGGAAACATAAGATGACACGTGCAAATTAATCATCAGAGGCTGTGTGGCATAGTGGTTACAGTGTTGGGCTAAGACCTAGGTTCAGTTCCCCACTAGGCTATGAGGTTCATTGGGTGAGTCACACCCAGTGTCACACAGGATGAAATTACGAGGGAAGAAGAGCCACACTGAGCTCCTTGGAGGAAAACGGGGAACCAAATATAATACCAAAACAAAACAAAAAATTGCAAGAGAAATTCTGTCTTGTGTGTCAGAGTCCAACAAAGGCATCTGCCATCCCAAGTGCAATTGTATTGAATTTATAGTTCATTTTTTAAATTAACTGCTACCCGCTTAACTGGGTCATTTTTTATGAGTCAAAAAGGCTGCAATCCTAGATCCATTTACTTGGGAGTACGCCCCATTGCACATCATTGGGCTTCCTTCATTGCCTAACAGTGCAATCCAATACAATCTACTGCAAATAGAAGTCAAGTCCTGTGTTGTTCAGTAGCACTTCTTCCATTTTACGTTGCTGTTCTAATAGGCGACATTTCATTGACCTACCTAGTGTCACATGCACACACCCCTGTCCAGCCGAATGACTACCTGGCTGTTCATTAGAGCAGTAGCTATTAGAGAGGAGCTAATCCACAGCCTAACAACAACCCCACATAGCATGGAAGAGCCAGTGTGGTGTAGTGGTTAGAGTGTCAGACTAGGACCTGGGAGAACAGGGTTTGATTCCCCACTCAGCCGTGAAACTCACTGGGTGACCTTGGGCCAGTCCCTGCCTCTCTGCTTCATTTAGGAAACCGCCATATACTGAACCAGCCCACTGGCCCATCAGGTTCAATATTGTCTACACTGGCCAGCAGCTGCTTTTCAGGGTTTCAAGCAAGAGTCTTTTTCTGAAGATGTTGGGGATCAATCCTGGAACCTCTCAGGGTTGTGAGGATTAAATGAGGAGGGGGAGAACCAACTTGATCTCCTTGGAGAAAAATTGGTGGGATATAAATGCAATCACCCAATCAAGAAGATATGTTTACCTATATTTCCCTTTCCTATTTATTGCCCAATAGCCCTTCAACCCTTGGCCTCCAAACTCCTGGGACCTGCTGCTTATTATGGGATAGGGCCATAGTGGCAGAGCATCTGGGTATGCCTGCCCCAAACAAGTAAACAAAAAGGATATGGCCAAAGAGTATTTAGAGAAATTTAGTCCCCTTTTAGAGTTTATTGTCAAATTTTTCTCCCGAAATCTCAGTATGGTTTTGAAATGTTTCAAGTTAATAAACTCTTACTTCAGCTAGAGATTACTTATATTTGTTTTCTTTCTCTCTCCCCCCTTTTGTACGTCAAAACCCACTGTGGTAAGATATCAGTATGTTTCAAATATATACATATATTTTATTATTGCAATAGTATTAATTTTTACAACTCGCTATTGTCTTTTGAGCTTTTGAGGTAAAAACAGAAAGGCTCGTCAAGTTAATAATCAGTAATTGGCAGGTAACTCTGTAATTATTTGAATGCAATAGTGTTTCACTGAACAAAATGAATAAAAATGGGTTTGGAGGTGTCAAAAACAGTACAGCAGTCTGCCTCATATGAATCAGCTTGCATTTTTACAAGGAACATTTTGGATCCCCAGATTAATTAATTAAAGTTACCAACCCTTCTCCAAAAAGAAGGGTACAGTTGCGTTTACAAAGCATTCGGCAAAATAAAATAAGAAATGGTCTCTCAGCAGCCAGTAATGCCTTTTCAGTCAGTGTGTGTGACTCACCTTCCCTTTCCGGTCAGTGGTGTGAGAACTATTTTATGATGTTCTCAGCAATATGGGTTTTCCTCAACAAAGGTGGTTTGTAATCAGATTCTGAATGAGGATTCACACCAAAGAGTTAAAGCAATACCGCTTTAAACAGTCATACATTCCCCCAAAGAATCCTGGGATTTGTTAAGGGTGCTGAGAGTTTTTAGGAGACCTTCATAGCTGTCAACTTTTCCCTTTTCTTGCGAGGAATCCTATTTGGAATAAGGGAATTTAATAATAATAATAATAATAATAATAATAATAATATTTATTTATACCCCGCCCTCCCCAGCCAAGGCCGGGCTCAGGGCGGCTAACAAGCAATAATAAAAACAAGTTGAATGAATACAACTTAAAAACAAGATTAAAATACAACATTAAAATATTGAAACATTAAAATATTAAAATGCAGCCTCATCACAGGAGGAGAAAGGAAAAAGAAAGAGGGGGAGGGAATCAAAATGGCTCCAAGCCAAAGGCCAGGCGGAACAACTCTGTCTTACAGGCCCTGCGGAAAGAAATCAGATCCTTTAAAAAGGGGGAAAGTTGACAGCTATGCCCTGTGAAGAGGGATTGATTGTCAATCCACCCTGGGAATTGCAGATCTGGGAACGGAAGAGGAGTTTCCTAACAACTCTCAGGATTTGGGACTGTTTAAAGTGGTATTATAGTGCTTTAAATATTTGATGTGAATAAAACTGGGCACGACATACCCTTCAGTGCAACACGGGGAGAAACTTGGGGCACCATCTTCTGGTGTAGCACTCCCATGTTGGGTCACATGACCCCCGTGAGCTCGCACGCACCTCCCAAAAAACACTTTTCTTGCATGGCACCCCACAAAAATGTGTTTTGGGGTGCCATGCAAGACCTCAACCCCGAAGAAAACAAGACTGTGTCCCAAAAGTGCATGAGATGCCATTGCCCAAAATGGCCGCCGTGCTCTTGCAGGAAAACATGGGATGTTCCGGTTTTGTTGGGACAGTTGTGGGATATGGCACTGTAGTTTGTTGAGTGTTGCATGGTATAGTAAATCTGCAAGGGGTAAACAACAGTGCCCAGAATCCTTTGAGGGGAAGAATGTGCTTCAGATGTGATTTAAAATAATAGCTTCAATAACTGCATCTGGTTTCAGGCCTGGCTCTAGGTTTGAGGGGGCCTTCAAACAAGCTACCCTTCCTCTTGGCCCTCTTCCTGAAACTCTGTCCCCTGCATTATCCTGAGAAGTCTCTCAGCATCGATTCTCCCTCACACAGAGAGAACTGAGAACAGTTAAAAACGACAGTGACTTGAATAATAGTCACAACAGAATGGAATGCCTCTCTCATGTGACACACAGTTCGCCAATCAGATGAGAGCTATTGCTAAAGGGAAAACCCCATACTAAAAATACACAGCAATTCAACATGAGCAAACATTTCCATTTCAGGAAATTAAAACATTATCCTTAATGCTGCTGGTTGTCAGAGCAACACACCCTCCAACGTCTTGAGTCCCCAACCTGGGACATGCATCTTCCTCCCGTGCTCTCCTGCACAAGATCACGGAGCTCAAAAGATTGGGGGAGAGCTGTGCCCCAAAAAGGCATATTTGGGGGCACCGCATGAGATCACGGTGCTGAAAAAAATGCTTTTGGGGGGAGAGTTTGGTGTGAAATCAGGCGAGAAATGGGATGTTTCGTTTTTTCCAGGACACTTGCGGGATATGGAGTAGACAGTGCTGAGCTGGACGGACAAATAACCTAACCTCATGTCAAGGTGTTACTTATCTTCTCTGCAAATCAACATACCTAAGCGTTACCTGGTTGTTGTCAGTGGAGGAGACCAGATTTCTCTAGCATCGCCTCTGAAGTCCCTCCGAGTAAAAAGAAATGATTGCTCATTTTACATCAGTATGCTCTGTTTTCCCTTTTACATCCATAATTTATAGAAGAGCAGCTCCATAGATTTTTATATTGTTCTGGACTTTCAGTTTTTCACTCTGCACGCTTCTGTCTAGGAAGACATTGGCATTTACCAGAAACAAGGATAATTGTGTCTTATTAAAATGAGAAGCAACTCTTTGTTTGTTCTTTATTGTGTTTTGGACGTTAAAAATGTGCAGTTAACTTTAGTTGGGCTCATAAAATATCCACGCATGATATCAGAGTCATTTTTATGAGTTTATCTACTTCGTTATTTCATTTGTCCTTTGTTTTTGTAATCATCCTCTGCAGTGTTATTATTTATCATTCAAACAGCACTTTAATAGACCCAAATGTTTACAGCCTTGTAATCAGACTGGTGGCTACTTGCGTTATTCCAATCTTTCACATCCTGGCAGTAGGCGGAGCAAGGCTGAGACTGAGGCAATGATCTGGCCAGTTCCAGCTGTGTTATCTAAAAAATGCACCAAAAAACCCCAAAATGATCCAAGGGCTGCAGTGCCTTTGCTATGTGCAAGGTTTAGGGCTTCTTTGTTTGTTTTGTTTTTTAAAATGGGGAGTTGTGGTAGAGATTTGCAAAGAGTATTGAGACAATCAGCAATGGCCAAGAATGATGTGCTGTAGTCCAGCAATATCTGGAGGATTCCCCATTTCCGATTTAAGGAGAGTGCAGAGTGTTTGAGAACTGGGACATTCGCCGGGAAACCAAAATGCTTGCTTACAAAGTTATTGTACTGCCAACCTTACTGTACGTTTGTGAAACATGGACCACTTATAAATGCCTTCTCCAACTCCTCGAAAGATTTCATCAACGGTGTCTCTGGAAAATTGTACATATCACTTGGGAAGACAGACGAACTATCGTCAGTGTACGGGAAGAAGCAAAGATCACTAGTGTCGAAGCAATGATTCTTCAACATCAACTTTGTTGGACTGGTCATGTTGTTGTGCGGATGCCTGATTATCGTCTTCCAAAGCAACTACTCTATTCCAAACTTAAAAATGGAAAGCGCAATGCTGGTGGTCAGCAAAAGAGGTTTAAAGGCTCTCTCAAGGCAAATCTAAGAAAATATAGTATAAACACCGATAACCGGGAAACACTGGCCTGCGAGCGCTCCAGTTGGAGAACAGCCTTTACCAAAAGTGTCATGGACTTTGAAGACATGGGAACTCAGGACGCAAGGGAGAAACGAGCTAAGAGGAAGGCAATTTTGGCAAACCCTCACCATGATCAACTCCCACTCAGAAAGCTACATCCTCACTGTGGAAGGACATGTGGATCCAGAATTGGCCTCCACAGTCACCTACTGACACAGCATTAAGACTGTGTTCATGGAAGACAATCTTACTCAGCTATTAGTGATCGCCAAAGAAGAAGACACCACCCAGAAGTGCTTGAACCCTCTTGCCCTGGGAAGATGAACCTCTTACCAGCAATTCCTCTGCCTTATCCGGATGGAGCTTCAGTTTTCTAGTCCTCACTCAGTCCATTACGGATTCTAAACAGACATGATCTACAATTATTAGCAGGTAAACATGCTCCACCTACTGATTTGTGTAGATCAAGCTGCTATTTAAAAAGCACAGGAGCAGGACAAACTGGTTTGGTTCTCCTGGTCAGTCAACACCTCTGTTTCAGAGGCATCTGCAGTTGAAAACAGAATGCCAGTCTCATGTGACCTTGGTATGGTCCAGCAAGAAGGCTATGCTAACCTTCGTATGTTCTTAATATTTAAATTGGCTCCATGTAGGAATGCAAAGAAAAAAATTCCGAATTGCACAGGCCATCTCCTCCAATTCTATTTTGCCTTTGTTTTCTTATCATCAGCTGCTAGATTCCTGTCTGAATGCCCCGGGGCACAGCTGTATTGCCGATTTATTACGCTCTGTGCTGGCCATTTTCTGGTTCTGATCCAGTGAATGTCCCTCCTTGCTTCATTTGTCTGCTCAACTCATTTGCAGTTTTCCATTTTCATGCCAGCCAGCCTGCTACTACCTCTCTCTCCCGAAAAAGTAAAATAAAAAAACCCACCGTTAGCTGCAAACCTACTGCGAGGTGAAACATAAAATTGCATCTGATGTTAGCAGGCTCAAACAAATAACCTTTGAAGAATTGAGCTTGCTCCCTTTCCCTTTTCCCCTTTCACGTCTAAACCACTGAGCCTCTTGGGCTTGCTGATCAGAAGGCTGGTGGTTCGAATCGTGTGTGTGATGTCATGTGCATGACGGACTCTCCTCCAAGTTGGGTGGAACCCAGCACCTATGTCGTTATGGATCCTATGCAGGCTATTGTTGTTTAGTCGTTTAGTCGTGTCCGACTCTTCGTGACCCCATGGACCAGAGCACGCCAGGCCCTCCTGTCTTCCACTGCCTCCCGCAGCTTGGTCAAACTCATGCTGGTAGCTTCGAGAACACTGTCCAACCATCTCGTCCTCTGTCATCCCCTTCTCCTTGGGCCCTCCATCTTTCCCAACATCAGGGTCTTTTCCAGGGAGTCTTCTCTTCTCATGAGGTGGCCAAAGTATTGGAGCCTCAGCGTCAGGATCTGTCCTTCCAGTGAGCACTCAGGGCTGATTTCCTTCAGAATGGATAGATTTGATCTTCTTGCAGTTCATGGGACTCTCAAGAGTCTCCTCCAGCACCTATAGGCTATAGGGATAGGCAAATATATCAAGTTTCTCATTTTGCCAATCTTAAATTCGGTTCTCCTCATTTCCACATCTTTTAAAGGTGAGCCTACCTGATTTGTGCTCTCTGAAATGATCAGCGAACTGAAACATAGCATAGCACAACACAGAAGATGCCTTAATACTAAGTCAGGCTATTGGTCCATCTAGCTCAGTATTGTCTACACTAGGTGGCAGCCGCTTTCTGGAGTTTTGGGCAGGGGAACTTTCCATCTCTACCTGGAGAAGCCAGGGATCAAACCTGGGACCTTCTGCATGCAAAGCAGATGCTGAGCCAGAGAGGTCTTCCCCAAACTCAGCCATCTTTAAAAATTTTAATTCTCTGAATTTTGCAATGCAGTTCTCCAGCCAAGCAATGTGCACATATATGCATATACTAATGAACAGTCTGCATGAAAATACATATATTAGTGAAAACATCATATGAAAATGTGATATATCAGGGGAAATTGCTCTGCAAATATATTTATATAGATATTTATATAAACTCTGCTGAACAGAGTTTGGAGCTGATGTAAATTTACACTGGCTTAACTCTATCTGGACGCGGGTGGCACTGTGGGTTAAACCACAGAGCCTAGGACTTGCTGATCAGAAGGTTGGCGGTTCGAATCCCCACGACGGGGTGAGCTCCCGTTGCTCGGTCCCTGCTCCTGCCCACCTAGCAGTTCGAAAGCACGTCAAAGTGCAAGTAGATAAATAGGTACCGCTCCAGCGGGAAGGTAAACAGTGTTTCCGTGCGCTGCTCTGGTTCGCCAGAAGCAGCTTAGTCATGCTGGCCACATGACCCGGAAGCTGTACACTGGCTCCCTTGGCCAATAAAGCGAGATGAGCACCGCAACCCCAGAGTCGGCCACGACTGGACCTAATGGTCAGGGGTCCCTTTACCTAACTCTATCTAGGGTTGGCATGTTTCAAAATTCAAAAAGTGAAAATATGGACACAAAAGTTGTTGAGATTTTTTGGTCAAAGTTTTTGAGCTTTTTAAAGTTTTGCCCAAAGTTGTTGAATATTCTGCACTTCTGACATGGGTTGCCATACATCTGGATTTCAGCTATTTCCTTCTGGACACTGTTTCCAACAGCTGAATCCTGGCCATGTACAGAAAATACCGGACATATGGCAACCCTAGCTTTTACCGGCTTGCTTTCCTCCAGCTTCTTATGCATAATGTTGCTCCCCCAAAATGCTGACAAACACTCTTGAGGACTTAATTGCTTAAATTGCAAACAAATCCAGAAATGTGACCAACTGAAAAATGAAAACCTGTAACTGACAAGGTTTGTCCCACTCTAATGTAGCCCCAGTTCCATTTCAGACTAGTTTGGAGCCAGGAAGGTTAAATTCTGCAGCATTGAAAGTCTAGCTCTTGGATACATTCAAGGTTGAGAGTGCAAATTTTAAGAACATTCGTTGCAAATTTTTCTTTTATTAGACTTTGCAATCAAACTGTAGCAACAGTGCTGACACACAACTGTTCTTTTAAAAGCAATTTGGCTCCCGAAGGACAACTATTCCTGCCTTTGCTCATACCTAGCATATTTTGTATTGTTTACAGAGGCACCAGGGGGTTCACCTGCGAGCCGCTCAGAGATACAGATGCTCTCAAGGAAAATAACATCTGGCCTGAAATACAATGATGGGGGTCAGCATCACCTCCCCAATAGGACCCCTATTAACATAACTCTCAGAAAGGTGTGCCCAGAAGGCTGTGTCATTTATTGCTTCTTCTGTGCTGAACCAGCACATCATATCCTTGTAAGGCGAGGATCAGCAACTGGAAGTCCCAGGGCCAAATCCAACCCTCTTGAGCATAGCTGTCAACTTGCAGATTTGAAAATAAGGGACCAGCAGCCTCGGAAATAAGGGATCAGCAGCCAAAATAAGGGATTTTCAGAGCACAGGTATGTTTGCCTTCTGAGCCCCTCCGAGCCAAAGGCAGAAAGCCCAGCCAGCAGCCAAACGAAGCCTCAAGCGGTGGTTCCCACAGCGCAGCAACCCGGCAAAGGGGATTCAGCAAGGAAAACCACCGTCACCTCTCCGCTGGGAAGCGCTGAGCAAAGGCGAGTCCCCAGGCAACGTGGCCGATTTGATCGGCACAAGGCATGCAAGCTCCACCCCCCAGTTGTTCTTAGACTCCTTATTGGGTGAGCAACGCAGCCAAGCAACACAGTTGGAGCCTCCCTCCTCCCTGGCTGGCAGGGAGGGGGGGAGAGGAGTTGCTTCCTTTGAAACTTGGGAAATTTAAGGGACATCATCAATAAGGGACAGCAGCGGGACACGGCGCTAGGATAAGGGACTTTCCTGCCAAATAAGGGACGGTTGACAGCTATGCTCTTGAGAAGCACCAGCTACCCCCTTCCTCCAGCTGCCAGCTTAGAAGCAGGAGAATATGTGGAAGGGGTAGCGGTTGTGTCAATGGGACTTGGTTACAACCTGTTTTGGGGCTGACCCTTATTGTTGAAAGCTGATAGCTGCAGTTATTTAATGCAGAATAATTCTGTTAGTCCACATAACCCACTACTTTCCCGATCCTGGTACCTTAGGGCCCTCGTATTTATGGGACTGCCTCTCCTGGTATGCCCTGCAGAGGACCTTTAGGTTCATGAATAATCATAGTTTAGATGTCCCGGGCCCTAAGGAAGTCAGATTATCCTCTACCAGGGCCAGGGCCTTCTCAGTGATGGCTCCGACCTGGTGGAATGCTCTGTCCCATGAGACCAGGGCCCTGCAGGATTTAACTTCCTTTTGCAGGGCCTGTAAGACAGAGCTATTCCGCCTGGCTTTCAATTTTGAACTTTCTCTGATCTTTTATTTCCCTTCCTTCCCTCCCCTTTTTATGAAGATTACCTGCTCTGTGATCCCACAGCTAATTCTCCCCTGATCTCCTCATTGGCCCAAATAGGACTAATTCAGCCAGCTAGCCCTGGTGATCATCTAATGTTTATTGGATGGATTTCCTCCCTAAATTGATTTTTGAATTCCGAATTTATTGTTATTCACGTTTTATACTGTATTTTATGCTGTTTTGTTGTTGCATCAATTAAGTGTTTTAAATTTGTCGTTAGCCGCCCTGAGCCTGGTTTTCTGAACCGGGAAGGGCGGGGTATAAATAAAAATTATTATTATTATTAATTTCTTTATCTGGAGGTAGCAGGATTTGAACCTGGGTGCTTACGTACAAAAGACAGATGCTGCAACATAAAGCTATGGCTGCCCCAGAAGCAAAATTAAGCTGCCATCCTTACTAGTAGTAGTAGTAGTAGTAGTAGTAGTAATCCTCTTCATCTCTTGCCATAAACTCAGGTCCAAAGGCTAATTTAAAGACCCACCAACAGAGCATCTAACATCTAACCCTGTACTGTTTGCCCTGCCTGAAAGTCCTCTGGGCTTCTTCAGTCGGCAACTCAGACACAGATACCACCATGAAGTGGTACCTTGGTTCTCAAACTTTCATAGAATCATAGAATCATAGAATGAATCATAGAATGGTTCTATTCTTTCTTTCCATTCCAGAAGTCCATTCCAAAACCAAAGCATTCCAAAACCAAGGTGCGCTTTCCTGTAGAAAGTAATGCAAAACGGATTAATCTGTTCCAGACTTCTAAAAACAACCCCTAAAATAGCAATTTAACATGAATTCTACTATCTAACTGATCCATAAAATGAAAGCAATAATCAATGTACTATAAAATAAACAAGGCAGTATTGTAGATGATAAAAATAAAAATTATTATTTTTCCTTACCTGCACTGATGATAGTCATTGTTTGGATGGGGGGCTTTTATCCATTTCCACAGTCACACAATCAACCAATCAGTAGCTGAACTGGGTTCCATACAGTCACAAAAACAAATTAACCGAAAAAGCCTCAAAAACCAAAACGCAAAATAAATAGCAAAAACAAAAGCACCAAATACAGTGGCACCTTGGTTCTTGAACTTAATTCGATCCGGAAGTCCGTTTGACTTCCAAAATGTTTGAAAACCAAGGCATGGCTTCCGATTGGTGCAGGTGCCCCGGAAACAATAGCTGACAGCCGCGTCGGATGTTTGGATTTTGAAAAACATTCAAAAACCAGAACACTTATTTCCAGGTTTTCGGCGTTTGAGAACCAAGGCATCTGAGAACCAAGGTACCACTGTACAGGCAAGGCCTAAACTTTGAAGCCTTTCCAAATGGTATGATCTCTAGTGAGTAGGATTCGAACCCACAACAGCTGGGCTAAAATATCTCAGAAGGTGTTCCAAGCATTTCAAGCCTATTGCATATTTCCAGGCTACAGACCATTGGCCTTTGGGTGGCCTTTGGAGGTCTGCTTCAGAACTCTCTGTTCAGTCTTTGAACACCCCACCCTATCTTACAATAGAACGGCCAATCTATGCAGGGGGGAATACTTACCGTTCTCACATCAACCATCCGCAATGCATGCCTGCCTGGACTTTGTGTGTAAATGTGCAGGAAGCATAGAGGAGAGGAATTCGATGGGTGGAGATGGTACCACTTGTCCTTAACATCACACTTGCCGAAACATTTAAGAGCCACGAGGAAAACTGCACAGCTATCGGCTGAAGGTGTGTGTCAGGCATCTGAGAACATCAGATCTTTAGAGCGTCTCCTCTCTTCCTCTCCATGCCCCTTCCCCCTCTTCATCTTTCTTCCCTCTCTGCTTCTCACGTTGTTTTCCGTCTTTCTGCTGACTGGCAAATGACTTCCTCTTAAGCGGCAGGGCTGTGATGTCAGCAGAAGTATTATGACATCAGAGTGGTGTAACCCCTCTCTATCCTATCCCTTCTCCTTCCTTCTCCCTTCCTGGCAAAGAGGAGCCACCATTGCAGGAGAAAACCAGGAGGTGTGGGCTTGCTTGATCCCCTGAAGTAGTTTGGTGTCGTCAGGTTCAATAGTCCTGCAAATGCACGCCCAAGACATGTGTTCCGCGAGCAGATTTATGGACACGTTCACATGTAGAAATGCACACAGTTGCATAGGTTTATAAGACACACTGCTAAAGGAAGAACACAAAGCAGTTTACAATCCTGATGTTCATGCGCATTGTTGTTTTGTATTATTTATTGCATTTATTCCCTCCAAGGAGCTCAAGATGACATCCATGGTTCTCCTCATCTGCAAGATTGTGCCTTGCCATTAATAGTGTGATGGCCTGGGACTCGGGCTCGGACTCGGAACCAGAGGAGTCTCAGTCTGCACCAGATCCTTTGCCTCAGGCATCATCTGAACCAAGTCTGGGGCCTGGTCCTGAAGAGTCCCAGTCTGCACAGGTTCCCCTGCAACAAACACCAGCTGGGCCGAGTCAGGGGCCTGAGCCTGCTCTGGCTCCAGATGCAGGGATTGCCTCGTTGCCTTCAGCTGGGCCATCACTTACAGTAGTGATGTAACCCACCGACGTCTCCCGAGCTGCAGAAACTAAGCTCTGAGAGAAGGAGAGACCTGAGTGCTCGCAGGAGGAGTGCTTGTCTTCGGGCGAAACAGGGAGGTGAGTCACCAGGGGATCAGGACTGGCCGCTACCCTGACAAAGATAAAAGGCTGTCGGACCCCGCCCCAGGTTGCGGGAGCAACATTGCTGTATCCTAGATCCTGCCCTGTCTTTGCCTGGTTTCCTGTCTCGTATCCTGCCTTGGCCCTGTCGGACTGACTCCTAGAGGAACCTCCCAATTCTGGACCAGTCTTGGATCGCTTTTCATGGGTCACCCCCAGGCCCAGCACAAATAGTCCCTGCAGTATCCTGGGAGGAGAAGGGTGAGGAGAGAGGGATTTCGTTGCACGCAGTTCCAGCTTGAGGTCTTCCCCATGTTGCCTGTTTGGTCACATGATGCTGGACCAGGTGGCCACTGGCATGATCCTGTTCTTACCACTTCCACCCAACACAAACTTTGTTTTCACATCTTTTATCACTAGGGTTGGGCAATATATCTATATATTGTCCAAAACTGGTTTGGAAGTCCATATTGTGATATCATCAATTTCATAGTTTTTAACCTGACAATATATTGCAAATCATGGAGTGTGTTAGGGCTGGGCGATATATCACCCAAAACTGGTTTCAGGTCCGTATTATGGTATTGGCTTCATAATTTTTGACCTGTCAATATACTGTGAATCGTGATGTTTGTGTGTGCTATGCAAAAGTCACAATGTGGGGGAAACCATGAAGCCAGCTGGTGCCTCTACATAAAAGTAAAGGGTAAAGGGACCCCTGACCATTAGGTCCAGTCGTGACTGACTCTGGGGTTGCAGCACTCATCTTGCTTTATTGGCCGAAGGAGCCGGCGTACAGCTTCTGGGTCATGCGGGCAGCATGACTAAGCTGCTTCTGGCGAACCAGAGCAGCGCACGGAAACGCCGTTTACCTTCCCGCCGGAGCGGTACCTATTTATCTACTTGCACTTCGTGCTTTCGAACTGCTAGGTTGGCAGGAGCAGGGACCGAGCAACGGGAGCTCACCCCATCATGGGGATTCGAACCGCCGACCTTCTGATCGGCAAGTCCTAGGCTCTGTGGTTTAACCCACAGCGCCACCCGCGTCCCATGCCTCTACATAGCTCCATCTTTATTTCAGACATTGTGATATACAGTAGACCCTCGGGTTATGTTACTCTCGAGTAACGTAAATGTCGGGTTGCGAAAGTGGCAAACCCGGAAGTATTTTTCCGGGTTTCACTGCTCGCACATGCGCAGAAGCGCTCTATCGCGCCGCACATGTCCACAGAAGTGGTGCCTCTTGATACGGATTTTTGGGGGTGTGCACGGACCCCCGGAACAAATTAAATTCGTATCCAGAGGGTCCACTGTATCAGTATATCACAATGTTTACCTGGTGATATATCACAAATTTGAAAACCAAATATCGCCTAGCCCTATATGTCGCCCTTTGCAAAAGTGACCCACCTTTGGACCCAGCCCCAGCCCCAACCCCAACCTCATCCCCACATCCTCTTCCCTTTCCCTGACTTTAAACTTATAAACAGCAGACTTTAAATGCATGAGAAAATAGAGTCCCTACACACACCTGCAGGCTACAGCTTCTGTTTTCTTACCTGGCAGAATGCCAGTTTTCACAAGAGCAGCATCTGTTACCAGAAGCCAAGTCGGCGTACCAAATGAGGCAATCCCACATTGCCGGGTGTTTTGCTTGTCCTGCAAAGGTTCGTACGAGGTCATCAAGTTCTTTGGAAGTCCTGGAGCTCTGGCCTTGCTTCATAGAGTACGCTGTCTGTTGTGCATTGTTTTTGTAAATAGTACGGAGTGAAACTCACACAAGACCGAGAGTAAATTTCATTGGTGTTGGTTTGCTTTTTAAAATCACCTCCGGGCTCTCGTGGAAATTTCTCTGCAAGTTCAACGACACCAATATCATGTTACAAAAATTAACTGTGTGAAATTACTTGATGCAGAATTAATTTGATATCTGCTAACCACCAAAATAACCTGTCAGGAGAACACCAGATATCCCAGCGGTGGGGAGCTCACAAGACTGTTTAGTTGCTCCAGGCCTCCCCATTTGACCCGTGGAGTCATTCTGGGCAAGCCATGCCCACTTGCGCCACACCTGACACTATCGATTATGTCGGATGTGGGGCAGGTAGAAACACAGCTGGACCGAAATGGTGTGGTTTGCATGCGCTGCTGAACAGGGGCACCTGCAGTGGCGACCACCTCAGGCAGCAGGATTCGCAGGTGCAGCAGATCTGGCCTCCAAGGAAATGTGGTGACTTTAGAGGCTGCCTCTGCTGCCTCCTTGACCGCACTCCCATGCCACCACGAACTACAGCAGCCTCTTGACAAATAGGAGAGACTGCTTGTCTCCTCCCACCCTTATTCCTGATGCAGATCTTTATTGTTCCTGACGTAGGTCTTCACTCACCCCTTCTTTCCTGGTTTGGGCAGAAAAAAACCCCATTGTGTGGTTCGCCTCAGGTGCCGAAATGTCTTGGGCCAGCCCTGATCACAGGTTGCCAGGAACAGTATTCTTCAGTCAACAAATGCCTGGGTAAACATGAATGTTTTAAAATTCCTCCTGAAAGTTAATGATGATGATGATGATGATGATGACGATGATAGTAGTAGTAGTAGTAGTAGTAGTAGTAATAGTACAGTGGTACCTCGGGTTACAGACGCTTCAGGTTACAGACGCTTCAGGTTACTGACTCTACTAACTCAGAAATAGTACCTCGGGTTAAGAATTTTGCTTCAGGATGAGGACAGAAATCGTGCTCCAGTGGCGCCCCGGCAGCAGGAGGCCCCATTAGCTAAGGTGGTACCTCAGGTTAAGAACAGTTTGAGGTTAAGAATGGACCTCCAGAACGAATTAAGTTCTTAACCCGAAGTACCACAATAATAATAATAATAATAATAATAATAATAATAATAATAATAATTTATTTATACCCTGCCTATCTGGCTGGGTTTCCTCAGCCACTCTGGACGGCTCCCAAAAGAATATGATAAAACATCGAACATTAAAAACTTCCCTAAACAGGGCTACCTTCAGATGTCTTCTAAAAGTCAGGTAGTTGTTTATTTCCTTGACATCTGGTGGGAGGGCGTTCCACAGGGCGGGTGCCACTATCAAGAAGGCCCTCTGCCTGGTTCCCTGTAACCTCACTTCTCGCAAGAAGGGAACTGCCAGAAGGTCATCAGAGCTGGACCTCAGTGTCCGGGCCGAATGATGGGGGTGAAGGAACCCACACTCTGCAAGGGAGGGCATTCCACAACCAGGGAGCCACTACTGAAAAGGTCCTGTCAGTGTCAACTGGGCAGCACCCAGTGCAGGACCAGGTCCATCCATGAGGCAAGATGAGGCAACCACTTCAGATGGCAGAATCCACAGGGGCAGCAGATCTGGATGGATGTAGATCTATATTTTGCCCTTGTTCCTGATGGAGAACTTTACTCACTCCTTCTTCCATGTTGGGGATGGGGGGGCCATTTTATGGTTTTCCTCAGGAGCTGAAATGTCTTAGGGTCAGCCCTGCCCCGGTGACACAACAGGAAACTCTCAACAGACAATCGTAGGGCCCAAGATGGTTATATTAATAATAATAATTTATTATTTATACCCCGCCCATCTGGCTGGGTTTCCCCAGCCACTCTGGGCAGCTACCAGCAGAATATTAAAAACACGATAAAACACCAAACATTAAAAAATTCCCTAATTGATATTAGCCTAGCTGTCTGTTCATCAGTGTAACTAAAAATATTCCAAACTTCTTGCCATTGCACTCTCCATTGTACACCTCTGTACAGATGGCTTCCATTCAATATGTGTGGTGCTAGTAATATATCCAAGAAATAGATTCACTATCTTAGGTGCAAATCTGCAGCCCCAGGCTGTGCCTGAAATTTGCAAGTTCAATCTCTCTGAAAACTGATTCCACCCCCCCCCCTTTAGTACTTAGTTCTGCCAAAGCACAAATGAAACTGGTGATGTGCTTCCTTTTTGTTTAGGGTATCCTCCGTCACCAGGGTAGCTCCCTCCTGTGGATTCTTGCTGTACAAAGCACATTCATCCCAAAGGAGCGAGCCGAAAATTGGCTGAACCTAAATGAACCTTTGTGGGACGCGGGTGGCGCTGTGGGTTAAACCACAGAGCCTAGGACTTGCTGATCAGAAGGTCGGTGGTTCGAATCCCCGTGACGGGGTGAGCTCCCGTTGCTCGGTCCCTGCTCCTGCCAACCTAGCAGTTCGAAAGCACGTCAAAGTGC